CAATTATTTTTTGGTAAATAAATAATTTACCAATGATATTTCTTTTCTATGGTCCATAATGACTAAATTACAAAAAATAAAATAAAATAATAATGACTAAATTACAACTTGAAATTTGTAAATTGTATACCAATTTACAAATAAATGAGGAAAGCATAACAATTTACCAATGATATTTCTTTTCTATGGTCCAAAAAGATTTTTTTATGACTATATATAGAAGAGTAATATACATGAATTTAATTTCAATTTTAAATCACAGAAAATTCATACAAATATTTATGGAGCTAGCTGCTGGCGACTGTAATTTTCTCTTCCATGGCTCAAGGCATTACCTCCTTTTTGCAGATGCAGCATTTCTGAAAGAGGGAGAAATAATTATTAACAAAATTAAAATATTTTTCCATCGTCTAATCATCTCTCAGAATTAATAAAAAATCTTAAACATTTTAAATACCTTATCATTCTCCAACCATTTTTTAATGCACTTTTCATGATACCGGTGCGAACACGGCAAAGTGGTCATCGCATCGCCCCTTTTATACTCCATCATACATATAGAGCACCTACAAAATGATATAATATTATTCATCCAATTAAGCCAAAGTAATCTCTTTTTTATCACAGTTTAGCATAAAAAACGATCACATGTTAATAAGGCTTCCCATTTTATGAGGGTCGGGGATGTTAATTATAACAGACAAGCGAATCTGTTTACATATCTTTGCTTTGCAAACGGATTGTATACAGTTTCGAACCCGTGACCTTTTGGTCACAAAAGAACGACATATCCGTTGCACCAAGCTCAGCGCTCACAGTTTTGCATAAAAAAAAAAAAAAAACAAAACAAAAATTAAGATCACAGAGAACTGGTCTGTCTTACTCTTTGTTACTATCATCTGTCGAACCGACTTTTCTCTTTGGTGGCTTGTACTTGTGAGATGGCAACATAGAAAGAATCTGTTCAGACAGTCCTTGGTCAACACTGCCGTTGGTTTCTTCTAATGCTTGCAATTCCTGGTACGCAGTACTGATTAACACTAATTGGGTTCTTATTTAAGTAATTAAAATCTTCAATACAAGAGAGAATTCGACTATGCCACTAGAACTATAGGTCTTATGCAACAAAAAAAAAATGTGTCAATACATCACCTCAATTGAAACTTTGTCGCAATGATATGATCTCATACTAAATACATGCAATTTTTTTAATGCAAAATGAAATATATTGCTTTTATTAATTTTTCAGGTTGAATATATTTTACGGAAAACTCAAAATATCCTCTAAATAGAATAACATCGTAACTCATAAAAATATAATGTTCGTATATTATTGAATTTACCTCATAATTCATGTTATCTACATCGACATTATCTTGGATTTCATCCTGCAGTGTTAGCAAATTGAAAACAATGTAGGCCAATTAATCAAAGGTGGATTTGTCCGGTCGATGGAGTATTTAGAGAAGGAATATCGTTTGTAATATAAAAAACATAGAACTCTATATACCCTATAGTGTTCTTGCATGGAAAAATGCTGATAGTCGTTCTCCAATTCCTGCATCTGCAACGCGTGAGCTAAAGCTTCATCTTCAAGCAACTGTCGATTAAAACTTCTGCTGGGATATGAGGAGGACCCCAAGTGACTGCTTTGTGCAACACCAAAGGGTTGAAACCTGTTTGCACCGCTGCTTCTATTTGGTGGAGCTAAAATCACTACCGGTACCGGCTACATAACATGTTTTATATAATCGAACAAAGATTAGTAGATAATTACTTTCCGCCGGCCGGCCATAACAAATTAATTAAGCTGCATTACGCTTAATCTTGACTTAAGTACCTGATGTGGAGGAGGACCTGTGGCTAGGGGAGTGTTGCAGTGATCACCAAAAATGTACCTGGAAAATTCTACGGCTTCGGGTGGGTATTCGTGTTCATCTGAACGGCGAGTTGGAATTCGATTTCCCATCCCGACAGTGTAAATTATTAGAAAATAACCCCAAAAAAGTACGAGATTTCTCAAAAATCATATGTCGGGATATTCCAGTCAATTAATCTCCATGGATGAACTTGGCATATATATTTAGCAGTTGGGTCTCTTAATCATCAGCATGGGTTAATCTTTAGCCATAATGCAAAGGGATATGTCGTGAAAAGTTATTAATTAGATCATGCATGGTATTAAGAGACATGATAAAGATTTGGTGCACAAACAATGTATACGTACACACTAGGACTAAGGTACTTTTTTTTGGGTTATCCTACAAACTTGATCAAAATTTATTTACACTAAGAAAGTGCGGGAGTAAATTGGTTGTTCTTACTTACAAGTGAAGAGAAATATCACTAAACTGTAATATTAAGTAGCAACTCGATCAAAACTAGTAGGTGACCTATTTAGGATTTACATGTTAGTGTCCTTGGCTATATTGGTTTACTTTGTTTTCTTATTCCCCAAGCTTCTATTCTTAAGTTTGTGGAATGACATTCATGATTTTTTTTTAATTTATACGACTACATTACTTATAATAACGGTTGAGAATTTGAGCAAAACCAAACAATAGGTCTGTCATAATAATTTCGTATTAAACTCGTCATCTATTGAAGTCAAACTTAAAATTTCTCACTTTTAAATGGAAAAAAATATTACTAAACTGTAATATTAAGCGGCTACATTCAACATCTTTGAACAAGCATTTTCAGGTGGTCAAATTGAAACACAAATTTCAATTGCTCAATGATACTACTCGTGCTTCAGTATTACTCGTATTTTCTTTGTAGATTTATTCACGTCCAATTATCATGATATCCTAAGTCTGCATGAATCAAATTGCATATACATATATTTTGAAATTCTGGGTTTTTTATATTATGGTTGCATATCATATGTATATAATGTTTTTTCATAATTATCGAATTGAAGTTTTGGGTGCACTAGCCACAAGTTATACACAGATAGGGTGAAGGTGTTTTTTTTATCGTTAAAGATGAATTTCATTTACAACAACAAAAAAGTAACATACACATAAAATACAAATCAAGGAGAGAAGGAAAATATGATAAGCATGGACTTTTAAAAAAAATCTTTTGGCTTGAAGACCCCCGATGTGGAGGCACAATCCACCAAAAGGAAATTTGCCATCACAAACAATCATTGACTCTGTAACTCCGATTCCGCCTCCAAAAATGGCGTCGGCCACGGAGGAGAAGTAACATGATTGAAACCCAACTTAGACGCAAACAGAAGTCCTTCCCTCGCTGCAATCAATAATTCCACAGCTGGAGAGTAAAAGGACTTTGTTTTGATCAAATTATACCACAGACTCGCAGAGTTAAGTATAAAGTCAATAATCGATGTGAGTGCCACGAGCTTCTGGACCTGACCATTTTTAATCCAAATTTACGAAGGATGCATTTCGTTATTTTGTAGTTTGCACCGTTCCACAAATCTATGATATCAAATCATCTGTCTTCTTGGATTGGGCGAATTTGCCCTTACAGCTTTTGTTTCTGATTTTCGGCGGATAGTTGACGATTGATGGTCGTTTGCATGCCACGGCGTTGTATGCTAAAGGACAGAAGAAGTAAATGTGTTAAGTTGACAACTTCACTGCTCTTGGTTTCTGTGGATCTAGTTCAATAAATGGTTATGATTTCAGAAGATCCGAATGACTGCATTTTTATGGTTATGTGGGAGTGTGGTAGTGAATTGGGTTCGTGGTTGTGGCGGCCTATGGCGTCGTCGTCAAAGGCTGGCCTCCACAAATGTCGTTGCTGTTGTCCTTGCTAAAACTGTGACTCACACTGCCTGATGTGAAACTGTGACAGCTATTGGTGCTAACAAACCTTATGTAGGCTTATGGGTTCGCGTTGGCGCTACGAGGCCAGTGGTGGTTTGGGCTTAGAATCCCTTTACCACCAATCCTTATTTGCGTTGTCCTTTCTACAACTGGCATCTCCAGTGCCTTTGCTAGCCACGCCTTCTGCCAACTCTGAAGCCGCATGTCTTATGTGGACACGTCATCGGCCCTAATTTTATTTTTTTTAGTTTAGCTTATGCTTTCGTTTATCGTGCATAAAGAGAGTTATGTAGTAGATGTTGTTTGTGTCGATATGGCGATTTGTGCGGCCTCGTTATTTGTAATGGCTTTATATCAGGGTTTCGATGCTAGGTTTGTTGCGTCTATCATCTTTGTGATGAATCTGCAACGTATCATTTTAGTGGTATGTATGGTAGTCGCATAGCGGTTTCAAATTCATTAATTTGTGTTTTGAGCGATTTTCCAGATCAAGAAATTGACCACTAAAAATTGTACTCTTCTGACACCCTATCGCTTCTGTAAACAAAACAAAAAAATAGACTTAAGCAACCGTCAACTTGGTTTCAGCCTGTTGAAATGTCTGACATTGACCGTATCAATGAGGAAAAAAAAAAGTTTAAATATCCTAACCCCATTTCAACTAACACCGAAACATTTTGTGATAAAATTCCACACTTAACGAATAGTGCAAGTGGTAACCAAGTTGGGGATATTATCGGTGCTGTTAGAAGTGGGCCCTCGACCCGCCTCTCTAATAATTCTACATGGTATCAGAGCCAAGGAGCGGGCCCGTACTATCCTGCCACGTGATGGGTGGGTCCCCTTGGCCCTGCGCGATGATGGAGGGTCACTTGGCCTTGCGTGTAGGGTCAGTCCCCTTGGCTCCACGTGGTTGTCGATGTGTGAATCTCCCACTGGGATCCAACTAGTGGATCCCACATGAGGGCGCGTGTTGAAATGTCTCACATCAACCGTATCAATAAGAAAAAAAGAAGCCAATGTTTAAATGCAACGAAGTTTATATGTATGACGATATTTGATTTTTTTTATCATGCAACTTGGTACCGTTTAGCCTCAATAGCCCGATCTCGATCTTACGATCTTAGGGCCATCTGCGTCCTTGCGAATTGAATTTCCCTATTCGAACTCCTTCCTTCTAGGAAGAAGAGAGGGGTTAGGTGAATCAGTTGATTTGCTTATCTTCTTCGCGAGATTACGAAATATTGGTGTAAAAGATTCAGTGGGATCTGTGATCTATGCAAGTGCAACACTAGTTGAGGTTCATTGGAACATGCGGCTACATACACCAGTTGACACGTGAGATATATTTTAATGACAATATTTAATTTTTTTTTTTTTTTTCTTGCAACTTGGTACCAGGTTTTATGTGGTGCGATACTAGCTGAGGTTCATTTGGAGCATGTAGCTACATACATACACCAGTTGATATTTGATGTATACTTTCTTAATGACAATATTTGACTTCTTTTTTCTTGTAACATGGCATTGAGGCCATCTAGAAACGAATACACAGCTAATGTTCTGTATTAATTGTATTTTTCAATTTGTTAATGAAATATTTTAATTTTAACTCTCATTCAATTACAATTTATAACAACTCACTTATGGTACGATTTAACCAAATCTACACACCTTAGTGTAATATATTAGTGTTTCTACACAATGATGGATATAATCCAACTAGGTAGACTAATGGGAGGAGGACATTAAAAAGAAGGCTTATTATTTGAAATGCTCTCTGAAACTATCATTTAATCCAAATTTACCCTTTGAAATTGGTTTTGTCTCATCTTACCTCTTGAAACTAACATTTTCAACTGTTTTGGCCTTACTTTACTTGTTATACATCTATTTACCTTTAGCCTACACACTAAACCAATCTCAATTCCATTTTTGACAACTCTAATTCAAGTTAAGGCATTTTTTTTATTTTTTATTTTTTGAACAAACGATATTATCTACATTAAAGAGGTGGGTTTAGTCTCGCCATGAGCTAACAATAATGTTGTTCGAATTCGTTTTTGGCAAAAATGAAACATAAGATCTCTTACTAAGTGGCAAGATAAATTATTCAATCAATAAGAAATTCCGCACCGTGCCCTCTCGAGCAAGCAAGCAAGAAGAACCAGATTAACCTGCCTATACTTGGCAGGTCTATTTCAAAATCCAAACCCCAATGTGTTGGTAAATTAGACAAACACCACCATCCCACATGCCGCAACGTGCATCATAACCTTATTTATCTAAGCCCTTCACTGCCTCCACCTCCCTCAAATCTAAACCCTTTTAAATTCCAAGGGAAGAGAAAGAAATTCGTCAAACACTTTCCTCCACCACCACCATACATCCATGGCTTCTAAGGACAACCGCCTTCCGTACCACCCAACCGCCAAGCCCTCCAAACCCTCTCTATTCCTTTGGAAAAAACCCAACGTCTACACCTTACCCGTCGTCCTCTTCCTCTGCCTCTGCTCGTACTTTTTCGGCCTCTGGCAACACGGCGGCCCCACCGCGGTCATCAAAACCGCCTCCACGCCAACCTTCAAACTCCCATGCAAATCCCCCAACGAAATCCACACCACAACCACAACAACCACCGCGTCAGCCTTAGATTTCACCTCCCACCACAGCCCCAACTTCAGCACCGCCACGTCCTCCCACGCTACCACCACCAACGTGTTCCCGCGCTGCGATGCGAAATACAGCGAGTACACGCCATGCGAGGACGACAAGAGGTCGCTGAAGTTTGACCGTGACAGGCTCATATACAGAGAGAGGCACTGCCCCGAGACGAGCGAGCTCCTTAAGTGCCGCATCCCAGCACCGCACGGCTACAAAAACGTGTTTCCGTGGCCGAGAAGCCGGGATCTGGCTTGGTACGCCAATGCGCCGCACAAGGAGTTGACGGTGGAGAAGGCCGTGCAGAATTGGATCATATACGAAGGAGATAGGTTTAGGTTCCCTGGGGGAGGCACCATGTTCCCTAACGGTGCGGACGCGTACATTGATGATATTGGCAAATTCATCAATCTCAAAGATGGCTCGATTCGGACCGCCATTGATACAGGCTGTGGGGTAAGCAAGCTTGCATTATCCTCATTTGTTTATTTACAAATTAATACGATTAGATTTACTAATTAAATTATATTCCTCATTTGTTTCTTTACTACTTAATTACGATTTATGATAATATTTTGTCTTTCATTAACGTATTTTAATACTCCTAGCTGTCCTTATCGATAAATTTTTCATTGTGACCACAACACATGTGATATATTACGTGTTTTTATATAAGTGGTAGAAATTTTTATTTTTTAAGTTATTAATTTTTTTACACACATATCTCACCATTTGTATAATAACACATGATGTACCATCCCGTATTCCGATCACATTGAAAAATCTCTCATCCCCATCGTCTACCAAGTGATTACTTGTTTAGTCTAACACACTTGGATAAATAATTGTTTTTAATTCATATTATTGAATGGTTATTTTTTAGAAGAAAACTGGTGATGGTATGTGAATTAGGACAAATTTGGATAAAATATGAATTTAGCTGTGGATTAGTTGGTAATTGATGGTTACAACTAAACAACTTTAATATCCTAGTGATAAAATAAGAAGGAAAACAAAATAGGAAGGGTAGGGGAGGGGCAGTGTAATTTCCCAAACTAGGACATTGCCTCCCTCCTAATTTTAGCAATTCAAATTTACTCATTTACTTCCAACTTGAGAAGGGAATCTCGCAGGATTTGGGGTGTAGGAGATTTTGAAAGATCTTAATTCTTTTTACAAATCCAGGTGTATCGATTAGGATTTAAGTGATTCTCTAAAAGTCTAGGTGTACTTAATCAGGATTTTGAAGAAGTGTATACCATTTCAGTATTCAAGTAGAGATTAATTTTGAAGGATTCTTAAAAGTTGGGGAATTTAAAGGAATTTTAGAGATTTCGTAGTGTATTTTAAGCATTCTTGAATATCGCCTCTCTCCCTGAAAATTTGAGGAAATTCACTCAAAAATCTACATAGAATCTCTAAAATCAATTAAACTCCATCAAAATCCATGAATTTATAAATTCATTAAAATCCTTCAAAATCTCAATTGAATATACCCAATCCTATCATCAAGTGCAAATAATATACATAGTTAAGACTTACTATGTATAATTTGGTCAACCATGAGACTAAATGATTGGTTCCTCAATCCGAAATAAAACATTTCGATTTGGGAAATAACTTCACCAAATCTGATATCACCGAGATGATGATCTGTAATTTATGACAATTCAATTTTTAAGCATGAAATTTTTATTCATTGCTGATATGTCACGGTGTAATATATATTCTACGTAATCCTTATCCTGATATCTGGGATGAAGTTGATCTTGTGTAACAATATCTTTCAAGAGATAATTCTTTTACCTTGTTTCGGAGTTGGTCTTAATCTTATGCTGTAATATTTTTCGAGAAACAATTAATCACACTTATTTTCTTCTTCTGCATTTATCGAAAATAATTTCCTTTTCTTAGCAAAGTCATCCTCGTTGACTCGAGAGGGTTCCACGTGGCAACCACGTGATTTTAATTTCTTATTTTCTCAACGTGCGTGCATGCAATGCAGGTAGCAAGTTGGGGAGCGTACCTGTTGTCCCGCGACATCCTCGCCATGTCGTTCGCGCCGAGGGACACGCACGTGTCGCAGGTCCAATTTGCTCTCGAGCGCGGAGTGCCAGCCCTCATCGGAGTCATTGCGTCGAAAAGACTTCCTTACCCTTCTCGAGCCTTTGACATGGCCCATTGCTCTCGCTGCCTCATTCCCTGGGGCCAACACGGTAAAACTTCTAAAGTCACTTTTAACCTTCAAATTTTACTCGAATCTTTTAGGTGATTTTTACACGATCATATAGTATTATTAATTTAGAGAGTACGTAAATCTATTTATTAATATCATAACACATCAATCATGTTATCAGTTTATATTACAACGAATTCGTAGTTACGTACTTACGCAATTTTGCACATTTTGAGTTGGTACAGATGGGGTTTACTTAACAGAGGTGGACAGAGTTCTGCGACCGGGTGGGTACTGGATTCTATCGGGGCCGCCGATCCGTTGGGCAAAATATTGGAAGGGTTGGGAAAGAACCAAAGAGGATTTGAATGAAGAGCAGACTTCCATTGAGAATGTAGCCAAGAGCCTCTGCTGGAAAAAGTTGGCGGAGAAGGACGACATTGCCATTTGGCAAAAACCCACCAACCATTTGAGTTGCCAAAACAACCGCAAGTTCGGCAAGGCTCGCAATTTCTGCCCCGCTAATGATCCTGATACCGCTTGGTATGTGCCCGCTTTAGTTTTATCTTTTAAAGTTACAGATGTTTTAGTCTTATTAAGATTAGTGTCATTTGCATGTTTTTAATTAATTTCGTTAATTTAAACATAACTGAACTATTTTTCCTTAAATTCATCCATTTCTTTTGTACAAAAATGTTGAAGGTACACAAAGTTGGAGACTTGTTTAACCCCATTGCCAGAAGTTTCAGACAACGAAGAAGTTGCAGGAGGGAAGTTGGCAAACTGGCCACATAGGCTCAATGCAATCCCACCAAGGATTAGCAAGGGAACTGTGAAAGGTGTGACGGCTGACGTTTTTAAGCAAGATTCGGAGCTGTGGAAGAAGAGAGTTTCGTACTATAAATCGGTGAATAATCAGCTCGGAAACCCTGGAAGGTATAGAAATATTTTGGACATGAATGCACAGTTGGGTGGATTTGCTGCTGCCCTAGTTGATCTCCCTGTCTGGGTCATGAATGTGGTTCCGGTGGAGGTTAAGTCTAACACCCTTGGAGTCATCTACGAACGAGGATTGATCGGAACATATCAGAATTGGTAATTTCATAACATTTTATCATACATCTTCTATGTGACATACATCTAAATTTTCAAGGCTAACACGCTTGGAGTTGTTTTAAATTCGCAGGTGTGAAGCAATGTCTACATATCCAAGAACTTATGACTTCCTTCATGCTGATTCAGTGTTTAGCCTCTACAAAGATAGGTAAGACCTAAACATTTTCCAAGTCATTTGCATATTATTTATGTGTGACTAAATACCAACATGTACCAATGTGTGTCACATTATTCGAGTTGCAGATGCGAAGCGGAAGACATTTTGCTGGAGATGGACAGAATTCTGAGGCCGGAGGGGAGCGTGGTCATCCGAGACGATGTTGATGTGCTGGTGAAGATCAAGAGCATCATCGACGGAATGGAATGGGACAGCCAGATTGTAGACCACGAAGACGGTCCTCTCGAGAGGGAAAAACTGCTGTTTGCCGTGAAAAAGTATTGGACAGCTCCTGCTGCAGCTGAAGATAAACCTTCCTCCTAGCAATGGCGTTTTGTTTAGCTTTGTTTTGTACTTAAACATTCATGATTCTTTTTGTGAAGCATTTGCTCCTCCGGCTGATAGCAGCTGGTTTTTCATTTAATGAAAGGTTTCTATCCAAATCTCAATTTTCTCACACTGGATACGCTCTTTGCTACCCAAGGTACGTGATATGTTATCCAAAGGTCAATTTCCTAGCACCAAGTTGAACAATTATGATGCTGGGGTCAGGATTCTCTTTAGATGTCTTTCATCCGGATCCTTCAATTCTCTACGTTCTCTGATGGGTTCTGGCTCCAATTGCCGACCCACGCCCACATGTCTTCTTGCCTCCGATTGCCCAAAACTGGTACCAAGGCCTCCCCCAGAGAGAGAGAGAGAGAGAGAGAGAGAGAGAGAGAGAGAGAGAGAGAGCAGGGGGAACAAGATGAACATGAAAAAGCAAAAAAAAAAAAAAAAGTTAATTAATTCTTGCTCGAGACACGATTGAAGGATCAGGAGAATCTGAGTGAAAGGGATCTCAAGAGGATCCTATTTCAGATGCTAGATTCAAAACTTTACTATTTTATGTAATATAATTTAACAGTTCGGATATGATGCGAACACATACTTAATACGACACATATTCAATATGAACACGCGGGTGGGGTGCACGCGCCTGACACAAAAAAAATTAAATAATGCGCTGACGCCACCCTGGCGTCAGCATTGCGTCATCCCCACCTCAGGCTCAAGGCCTGGCAATCCCTCACGGGCCTGACCCTCGGGCCTCCCCCTTCCATCCGGCTCCCACACGCTGGAGCCAAGCCACCGGCCCTCGGGCCCTTCTTTTGGACCCCTTCCCCCAAGCAAAACCCCACGCTGGGGATGCTCTAAGTGGCACATTTGCACATTGACCGGTGTAGCACTATTTCAAGTGTTTACTACACAATCTAATTGGTCCAACACATTACCTGATACATTATTTGTGAATTTTATACTTAATAGTTGGTATCCTAAAAAAAAAGAATTTTAACCAAACACTTCTGGTATTGTTCACTTTTAACGAAAAATGATATTTTTACCTTTCCTGATACTATTCACTTACACATTTATTTATCATTTTTCATTAAAAGTTTTTTAGGACTTTTCGTTAGTTTTCCTAAAAAAAAAATAGCAAAATTTAAGAGATTTTGTCGATGTAGATTTTGGTTTGTATACCATTTAAGTGGATCATGAGACATACGTCATTTTCCCCCACACGAAAATTGTTCATCTAACCTAGTAGTAATTAGGTGATTCATACATGAAGCCACCTCTTCCTAGCCCAATTGCCAACTATAAATGGACTTGATTATCTTACAAGATAATCCATAGTTAATCGTAAAGCTTATTCCTAAACCCTAATCATGGCATCCTTCAAGTCTCCTATCAACTCCTTCAGCTGCTTCCAAGCTGCTACAACCCTTGTGTTGCTGATTGCCCTGAGCCTCTCAGTGCACACTCAGAAGGCTGATGCTCAGAGCAGCAGTTGCTTGGCCGAGCTGAGCAGCCTAAATGTGTGCGCACCTTTTGTGGTGCCTGGCTCCACCAACACCAACCCGAACTCTGACTGCTGTGGCGCGCTCCAAGCCGTCCATCCTGAATGCCTTTGCAACGCTGCCAGGGTCGCCGCTCGCCTCCCCGCCCAGTGCAATCTCTCCCCCATCACTTGTGGTTAGTCAACTAAAAGTATATGTTTAACTGATCATCCTACACTAATTACTATTTGTAGGATTAATTAATATCATCTTATACGTTTATCATGTGTTTTTTTCTTTTGCAGACACCAACTGATGTGCTACGACAATGCTGTCAAGGGAATAATGTTGAAGTTTCACCATTTTGCTTATGTTGTTTTTTTTTTCTTTTTTATTTTTTTATTTTTTTTTATTCCTTCCCTTGAATGTATGCTCTGATCTGCGATGATGAGACGGGGATCAGAGAGAGAACTTAATGTTGTTGAATAAAATGGGGAAAATGTTTCAACTTTGTGGAACGATATATGTTATTAATAAATGGCACCAATATATGACGTTATCGAGAACATCTGATTACAGGTCTACATATAACCGTATATGCAGAACAATCGATCATTAATTTCACATAACATAAAAAAAGCTCTTTGAAGTTGAAAAATTATAGTGAGGCAGCAAGGGTACCTCAGTGAAAGCAAGTCATGTTTGAGGAATTGTCAGTCTTGCAGAAGGCATCGTTCATTAACTTATTAGATAGAGAGGGGCTCAAACCTTTTCTTGATAGAAATATCACCGTTGAGAAAATTCAGACTCAATCTTGGAATCGATTATGAGAAAACTTTTGGCCCGCCACATATTCGTGAAAGTAACTCTTATTATGAATGCTTATCTCTATCCTTGCAGAAACTGACCCTGCCAACCAAAAAAGAAGTCAAGCTTGTAGAGCATTCATTGGATTAAGAATCACCTTTATCTCCTTGGTTCAAGCCATTGCCCTTCCACAGAGAAGACTCTTTCCAAGCCTTACTATAAAAAAACCAACCTCAAATATCCCACAAAAACTTTTACAACAATGTATAGTACTACTCTCTCGACCAGGTCATCATAAACAAATACTACAAAATCTTTTCCGAAATGAGAGAACGAGAGATGACGCGTTACGGCTAACATAACAATCAAGGGTCACCTTTGGACGTTGTCGTAACGCTTTGGGTACGAAGGTTGTCGTGGTTTAGGTTTATGGGTGGATTGAGTCAGAAAAAGTCCCCAAACTCGATCAATATCAAGATGTCGTGATCAGTTAGGCTTGATTGATCAGAAAAGAATTCAAAATATTTGTGTTACTTTATCTGCATTAGTTTGTATATGAATGCGTGAATTATACCAAGTACTTAGCAAATTATATACCACTTCAAATCTTCGTTATCAAGAAGAATAATCAACTCTGCAAATATTTTCGTAAGTTCTTAATCCGTTGCTTTGTTGCTTTCCATCCCAAACCTATTTTTGCTTAGTAAGTAAGCTTGAGTTGCGCGAAATGTTGCATTTTTCATTGGGAAATTTTATTTAAACCCATGTAAACTATTTCTACACCCAACTTAAATTTTAAATGTTAATTGTCTATTTTATCTTATTGCATAATTATTATTAAGTACAAAATGAAATTAATACTAAAACTCAAATTTATCAATAAACCCAAACACTATAATTAAACCCTACGCTCACTCTTTGTTTATCCTATGTTCATTCCGGCTAAAACCCTAATAGCTCTCATAGAGATAAGTTTTTTTTATTGATGGATGGTGATTTTGAAATTTTGAATCCTCCAACCAAGATATGACTCAATTTATGATTTTTTTGTTCGTTTAATTTCAATTTTTTAGAATTTAGAAGATGAGTATTTTGGTTTTAAATTTTTTTAAATCAATCTCGTATAGTTTGTTCATCATTCTGCAATAGCAAATTGCTACAGTCACTCAACAAAAGAAAGAAAGAAGAAAGTGTTTCAATTAATATTAGAAGCCATGTTGAAATTGATTGATCGAAGGAGAAGTCCATGCGTAGCTCCTGCTTCAATTCAATGCTTCTTCCTGATTCACGTGCAGCGATCTGTCACTACCACCACCTTCTCTCTCATCCTTTTCCATCTTTTGCACTGATTTTGTTTTTTCTGTATGTGCCTGCAACTATGTGAAACCCCCAAATCATAAAAAAAGTAAAAAAATAAAAAAATTGATAAGACACAACCTAATCACCTCAAACCCTACCTAATTTATTGATTAACCAAAAATCATCATGAATAAATTTTAAGCTCATCAATTTATTCAAACTTCCAATCTCCTTTCATATATGGCCTTTTATTGAATTAAAAAATAAAAAGGGGGGAACTGGAAGAGAAAAACAAAACCAGAACAATGCACCTGTTGATCGATAATGCAAAGGGAGAGATGGTGATACATGGTTTTTGTCAACATTTATAGAAGTGTCAGTCTTGTTGTCAGCCATGGTTGAATTCACACCCCAATTTTCAGTGTTCATTTCCAGCCGGTGTAAATATAGAGTTAAAAATCAAATAGGCGTAAACAAAAATCTACATATTGAATTGAGTTTATGGGGGTATAATAGGTAATAAATTTAGGTTTAAAGATATATTAATAGTTTAGTTAAAAATAAAATGGATACAAAAAGTAAGTTGAGTGTAGAAATAAATTACATGAGTTTAAATAAAATTTCTCTTTTTTATTTTGTAATTAGCCTAACTCCACACTTCGGAGAATATGTGGGAGAGAGAAGTTGGAAAAAATGTGAAAGACAGAGAGAAGACGTTTGAGTGGAGAAAATTTATATTTACATTTTTTATTTATTAAAATTAGAGTTATTCTATGATGACATGTGGGTAGAAAAAAAAAAAAAATTTGTGCAAAATGACATCACTGCCAACGATTTTCTTTTATGATATAAGATTAAAAGTATTTTTATTTTTTAATTGACAATATTTTTTAAATTGACAATGTTGCATTTTTAATTGACAAGATTAGGCAGGCCCATCTTGCTGGGCTCAAACGCTTACCTTATTATTATATTTCTTTATAAGCTTACCTTATTATTATATATATTTTTATAAGATTACCCTATTATTAATTGGAAAAGGATTCGGCCGGATCTTCTTTGTGGGAATCCGGAGATCAAACAATTATAATCGTTCATTGTATATTATATGGTCAGAAATTATTTTAAATTTTAAATTTTAAATTAAATATAAATGATATTTAACAAAAATTAATCATACGATATACGATGAATGATCGCGATTACTTGATTCTCCGAATTTTGTGGGTCCGACGAACATCCTTTTTCTTAATAGATAAAGAGGAAAGTGGCATTAATATTTTACCCTGTCAAACGGTTCGTCCCCACCCAAAAAAATAAAAATAAGAAATAAAAACCCAAATAAGCACCTTCATCACTGCAATTTGGGCTCAAATCTCTCCCATTTGTTCAATATCTCACTCCAGATCCCCAAAATCCGAATCCGACCGTTAAATCTAGGGGTTTTCTCTTCAGCCTGAAAGAGGACTCTTTCTCGGGCAAGCAGATTTTGTAGAGACCTTCAGCTAAATGTCTGGCAATTTGGAAATTCAAATTCTAGTTTTCTAATCTCTTCAGATTCTGATACTACCCACATTGGATTCGGCATTGGAAATTTGATGGGTCACTGTCAAAATCCGAGCTTGTTGCTCCTTCTGTTGCAATGGCGATTTCTATGACGAACGGAAATGCAGTTGGGTGAGCTCAATTCAGCAGCAATCACTGTGTGTAGATTTATACATGGTAAAATTTCATTTACCCACATGCAGTTTACTTTCACTACTTCCCCTGTTTTTTGTAAATTTTATTACTTTGTTCTTAGATGCAAGCCAAGCATATGAATACTTCTTCAATGTAATCTTAAACCAAAGCATATGAATACCTCTGTTGCAAGTGTGCAACTCGATTTTTCCTTAGAGTACTTGGATTTAACGGAAGACATCACACAGAACCGAGCACAATGGGGTTCTAGGATTCATATAGCCGAAAAGGCTTTGTTGTTGTTGATTATCTTGTCCTGCCAACAATATTATGCAGTAAAGTCTATAGCCATACTAGTAGGAATATATGATTAGGGATGAACCAATCCGATTTTAGTTACCGGAAAAGAAAGCGGCTAATCACCTTTATTTGCCATTCTTTTTAGTGTTTAATATTATCTATGTAGTAATGCAGGTCCATGGAAAGGGAGGATGAAGATTTTGGTGGTCTTCATGAGGGTGTCATGGATGTCGGACTTCAAACGGCAAATAGGTTGGACTTGAACGTAGAGCAAGTTTTTTGCAGCCCAAAATTTGTATCTATCAATGCTACTCAGCCTAATATTTCTTCCATAGGTGCACACAGTATAGATTCAGTTTTAAAACTTGGTTCAGAATTCGAATCTGATGAACATGCTTACAAATCTTACAAGAACTATGCCAGGTTGGTGGGTTTTAATGTTCGAAAAGACTGGGTCAATAGGAGTAAGGTACATGGCCAGGTGGTATCGAGGAAGTTCACTTGTTCTAGAGAAGGTTATCGACAGAATGACAAAAGAGATGCTAATGTAAAGAAACGTCGCAAGGAAACAAGAACTGGTTGCTTGGCGCATGTTATTATTACTCGTCAACCTGATAGTAAATACCGGGTTACGCAATTTGAAGAACAACACAATCATGACAATATAAATCCAAGTATTGCTCAAATGTTACCACCACAAAGAGAATCCAGTGTTCCTCAAGCAGCTGACTTGGTAGAAGACTTCAGGCCACTGTCGAAATTGGCATTTGACTTGATGAGTAGACGACCTAGAATAAGGGAATCTGCTGATAGTTTTGCCTTTGATTTTGACAATCATCTTCAGTCTGAAAGGACTCGAGATACGAAGGAGGGAGAGGTGGGACGTTTGCTGCATTACTTTCAAAGGCAGCACTTTGAAAACCCGTCGTTTTTTTATGCATTACAGGTTGATGCTGATGATAAAGTGAGTAACATATTTTGGGCTGATGATAATATGGTATCAGATTATGAACATTTTGGGGATGTGGTTTGTCTGGACTCAGTTTGCAGAACAGACACGAAGTGTCTGCCATTTGTACAGTTTATAGGCGTAAATCATCACAAACAGGTAGTTATTTTTTCTGCTGCACTTTTGTATGATGGCACTGTTCAATCTTTTGAGTGGCTATTTCAAACTTTCTTGGAGACAATGTCAGGGAAGAAACCAAAGGTCATTCATACCGATCAAGATCCAGCACTTGTTGAGGCAATAAATTCAGTCTTGCCGGAAACAGACCATCGCATATGCACATGGCAAATGTGCCATAGTTCTCTCAAGCACCTTCACCACGTAGTAGAAGATACTGAGGCTTTTGCCAATGATTTTACGAGCTGTATATATGACCACAAAGATGAGGATGATTTTGTTCGTGCGTGGGGAGATATGCTGGATAATTATGGCCTTCGGAAGAATGACTGGTTAAAGTGGATGTTTAGGGAACGAGAAAAATGGGCTGTGGTATATAACAGGAATACATTTTTTGTTGACATGAAAGGGTCACATCTGGTTGAGAGTTTATTCAATGATTTGAGAAAATACCTAAACTCTGACCCAGATGTGCTTCGTTTCTTTAAGCATTTTGAAAGGGTGGTAGATGAGCAACGTTGCAAAGAAATAGAAGCTAGTGTTGAAATGAACCGTTGTATTCCAAGACTGATGGGAAATGTGATTTTGTTAAGGCATGCAAGTAATGTTTACACTCCAAGAGCGTTTCAAGTATTTCAGCGAGGATACGAGAAGTCTTTAGATATTGTTGTTAATCAATGCAGTGAGAATGACTCATTGTTTGAGTACAAAACCAACATATTTGGTAAAAGTACGGAGCACACAGTTACATTCAACTCTTCTGATGACATAGTCATTTGCAGTTGTAAGAAATTTGAGTCTGTTGGGTTTCTGTGTAGCCATGCTCTTAAAGTGCTTGATCACCGCAATATAAAGGTTCTCCCCTCCAAATATATCTTGAAGAGATGGACCAAAGATGCAAGGTTAGGGAGTGCAAGAGTAAGTGATGCCATCAGTGATAACCCTAAGCTTATTGTGGGAAGCCGTTACAAAATTCTGTGCCACCGGATTCTTATGTTACCAGCCAGGGCTTCTGAATCTGAGGAGGCTTTTCAGTTTGCTGTTAGACAACTTGATCAAGTGATGGAAGGTGTGGAGAAAATCTTAACATTAAGGCCTGAGGATGCTCAAGCTTTGACTTCAAGTAGCACGGCTGCAAATGTTTCTGATACTGAACATGCAAAGATTTTTCTAGATGAATTTGCAATCAATAATCAGGATGACAATAGAGTAAAAGGAGCCGAGGAAAAGGATGGAGCCGTTCTAGACAGACGTCCATTAACAAATGTTAATGGCGATTACAATGCATCCATACAAAATACTGGTTCCTGCATTTCAAGTCCGCTATTGTACGCCTCACCTCAAGCTGCAGCGGAAAATGATATTATCCAGGCAAGTCCGGGCTTGCATTTATTGCAATTATATGAAATGATAAAAGTGCCATCACATGTGGTGGTCATGTTTAGGTTTCATGCTCTGATATTCTATATGTAAAGCTTTGATATTTTGTGTTCACGTTTTCTTAGCTGGTTTTGATCTTTCCATGTTCATTACACAGGGTTTGTACAATTTTGAAACGAACCAGGTGGTTCAGTGCATGCACGAACAAGATAGCCTGGTGATAAACCAGCAAACTGATCCTAACATGTTCTTTGCTAACGAACATGATTCACCTGGTCATTCTCAACTACTGCAGGTAGATCTTGTAGACACTTAACTGTTCATGTTTTTCTTTTTTGGAGGTATCGTTGTATGAGAGTTGCATACATGTTGGCATGCAGGAACCCCTGATCAATGGTGTGTACCAAGAGCCCGTATCAAGCACCCCTGAAGTGAGGCAGGTAAGTAAAGAGTAAAGGTCAAAGATTGAAATAAACCAGTTCATATTTTGTTTCGTATAAAAAATGACAAAGTACATGAATGTTGATTAGTTTTGGTTGTGGTTTCCTGCAGGCAATGGATCTCGATGTCCAAACTCCATCATCGTTCTTGGTTTTTGATGGCAGATAGAGAGCTTCGGACGCTCATCTGTTAAAATATGTATGTTCTATGTTGTATAGTGTACTCTGTAGATTCTCAATTGTCTGAAATGCCTATCTCGATGTCCAAACTCCATTGTCGTTTATGGTTTTTGATGGCAGATAGAGAGCTTCAGACACTCCTCTGTTAAAATATGTATGTATATGTACTCTTACTCTGTAGGGTTTCAAATGGCTGAAATGCCTGTTTTTTGATTTCTAAATATTATTAGATTTTGAAGAGTCTCAAATGTCTGTAGTAGAGTCTCAAATCTCAGAATGTTTTTTCTAACTGTTAGATTTTATTTTTGTGCTTTCGATCAAAGATTATCAAACAGTTAAGAAATTCTAAATATCCGATATTCTGGAGCACCGTAGGAAATCTCATTGTTCAGAACCAATTTTGCGTCTAAGAGTTGAATTTGGCCCAACCTTTAACAAATGGATCAATGTGCATATTGTAGCCCAACTAGAGATGTAAAACACAGGATTAAGGGCCGACATAAAAATGTGTACTTCTCTCCTGCGTGAGAGCTCTCTCTCTCTGAGTAAGTTTTTGTCAGTGTGTGTGAGTGTTTTCTTTCTTAGTCTCTAGTTCAGCCGCCGGCCTTAGCTGCGGCCACAGCAGTGGCAGTCCTTTTCGTTTTTCTTTTTCCGTTTCCTCCTCCCTGTTTTTAATTGAAACCGCTCTTTTGGATTAAAGGCCGACATAAATTTGAAAAACACTCCAAAAGTTCTTTGTATTGAATTTGAGAATTTTTCAAGTGTAGACAAGATAATCTGGTACACTAATTATGGTAATAATTAGTCAAAATTTTCATTTTTAATTTAGGAGTTTTAACGAAATACTTTCGGTACTATTTAATTTTAATAAAAAATCACATTTATACATTTTTCTAGTATTATTCGCTACATTTTTATTTATCATTTTTCATTAAAACTCAGTTTTTTTAAATTTTTCATCTAAATGTATTATTTACACTTATTGTATCGGACCTGTCTTTTCGCACATTCCAAACTAAAACACTTTGTCCATAAATCTCTGCTTTCTTCTCTATCGCTCACTCACTTGTCACTCCAACACTGCTTGCATCTGCTTTTGGCTTTTGGCTTCTCACTCACGACCCCCTCACAAATTCCCCAACATCTTCGTCTCGTGTACTTCTTCTTCCTACTGCCATGAGAAATGGGCTTTTTCGGGCGACTCTTCGGCTGCAAACTCTTCAAAAACAACCCTTCTCCGACCACCAAGCACACCAACGAGGAAAACAGTCAAAAGACTACTACTTCTGGGTCTAACAAGCACAAGCTCGGTGCCTCCGCTTCAGAAGATGCTGCTCAAGGATGGGCGGGCCTGGACGCCAACAAGCACGCGATTGCCGTAGCCGCCGCTACGGCCGCCGTCGCTGAGGCCGCTCTCGCGGCGGCTCATGCGGCGGCTGAGGTCGTTCGCCTCACTAATGGTGCTCCACCCGGGACCTCCTCGCAAGTTAGCCATCCCGCGGCGGCCCCGTCAATTGTCCGACGCCATCTCGCCGCCGTGAAGATACAGTCGGCTTTCCGGCGATACCTGGTGAGTGACTTCCCATTTTTGAAATTCTTTTCCGTTTCTGCCCCTGAGTTGTAGCTGAAATTACCTTTGGAAATGTCAATTTTTCATTTTTCCAATGGTCTTCCATTCCTTTCCTCTTTCGAAACCCAGTTTCAAAAGGTTTTCTCGGGAAACAAGCTGGACCGTCTTTGAAGTTTAAAGCTTCGTAAACATAGATTTTCTCGGAAAACAAACAGGGGCTTAACTCTGTTTCACAAGAAATTTTTCTTTGCCACGGGAACACGAATGGTACTGGTGAAATTTTTTATTTTTTAAATTATTAATTTTTTAACACACATATCATATTATTTATATAATAATTACTTATCGAATGTATCGGTTACTCTAAAAAATATCTCTAGTTTGACTTATCTTCCTCTATAAAGATAATTGCCAAAAGAAGTCACCCAAAGTTTGACTCTTTTACGTCTTATGATTTTGACAAAATATTTTATAATATTAATACAAAAATTGTTGTTAAACATCTAATCAATGTTAGAGAATTCACGGGAGTTGCGCTGTAGAGAGTGTATTAGCATTTCTCCAAATTAAAATTTAGATATCCGCCGACACAGTTTCTGTTGATGTGTCAACTCGCTGGGTTTCTGTCGGATTGTTCGAGCAGTGATTCTCTGCGATATCCGCAGAATTGTTTTTACTGTACATCGACCAACTGTAGATTCGTACGTGTAATCCGTACTTACATTGTTCTGGGGGATTTATTTTTTATTTCTTACGTAAGGGTTATTATCGTCTTTTGGACTTGTATTTGGAATGTCCAAGATGACGTGGGCGCAGCTGATTAGAGAATTAAGAACCATCCTTCGTCTTCGACGAGAAGAGATGAGATAGCTTTTTGGATTTCTTTCATCAAAATCATCGGATCAAATGATCTGGATTTTTAAAATTTCGTCCAATGATAAAAAATTATTATAATTTTTAAGGAGTCAAAACAGGTTGAACATTAGATAAAATTTTAAAGATCTAAATTACTTAATTCGATAATCTTGATGAAAGAGATCCGGAAAGCATCTCTTCTCGTCCTGGACAATCTATGCTATTCTGCTTTTAGCCTGTCACCAATGCCAGATTATACGGGGAAGGACAAAACTGTCATTTTGTAGAAATTTGACCTAGGTATAATCTTCCTGCTAAGCTGGTGGGCCCATTCCATCCTTTCTGGTGACATGATGGCTTTCACTTGGAGAAAACTGATCCCATACTTTTCGACCTTTGCTTTTTCTTTTCCACTTGAGTTCGAATTCAAAGTTTAGTGGATTTTGATCAAGTTGAAATTTATTCAACTTAATCTTGATTAATTAATTGAGTAAGTAGCATAGATTAGCTGGATGAAATGGCAATTGGGATGCTGTTATTTATGGCCCGTTCAGACTGTTTCTGTAGGAATCATTTTTACCCATAAGCTCTTTTGTTGGAAGCGTTTTTCTTGCTAGGTGATTAGAACACTTCCAAACAAGCCAATAACGTCAATCAAAAGCGATTTTAGACTTTTAGAATCAAACATGCGTGTAATATGTGACTTTATTTAACGTAGATGATGAGTTTTTTGTTTTATATTCTTGTTCCTTCTTTTGTTTGATTGTTTGGTAAGGATGCTTTTGTGAGTGATATCATTATTTCTTCCACAAGCCTCTCGCTTTCTAAAAGTTGTACGCTAGAACTCGAGTTGAGTTGCTAGTGTGTCCTACCTAATTTTCAAATTCACCGTAAACAATGTTGCGGTTAAGAACTTAAAAAAATTGTAATTGTAATTCATACGTTTCATACATTCGATTTGTATTTTGTACCGTATTTTGTTAATTCGTAGTATGCTGCAATATTGATGGTATTGTCCGAAACTTTGTGAAACTGTGAAAAGGCAAGAAGGGCCCTAAGAGCACTCAAATCACTGGTGAAGCTTCAAGCTTTGGTGAGAGGCCGCATTGTGAGAAAGCAATCGGCAGACATGCTCAGGCGTATGCAGACACTGGTCAGAGTCCAAGCCCGAGCGCGTGCAAGTCAATCACTCATGTCTGAAACACTACATTCTAGCAGTAAATCCTCACTATCGTATCACCCGGTGAGCAGAATTTTCTTCTCCTCCTACCACATTCCATTTATTGATTCTTTTTGTCGAGTTTAATTTGATTCAGATTTTATATCGTTATCATGAATCCGCCATTAGTGTTGTATTGGTTCATCTTAAGGACAAATTTGACTACTATTCACCATATTGAGTCCAACTTTGCTTGGTGAGACGTAATTGGTATTCATTTTCTTTGATGTTTACTTGCAGCTGCCAGAAAGCCCTGACAAAATTGGATACCAGCACCGCACTTATAGCAGCAAATTTGACGCGCCCTCAATACTGCAGGTATTTACTTTGATCGCCGTGTAGGATTTCATTCAGGCCTCCTGTCTTTTATGATGTTTTAGATGTAATTGTGGGATTCCTTTCAATCAAATTTAACCCCTGTGAATGATGTTCAATCTTATCTTGAGACATTTTGAACTTATACTTATCTCGATTTCATTTGTAAAATTTAAATGAAACTTGGATTTTAATCAAATTACTGCACACCGTTATTTTTAGAGATGCCGTTCAAATTCAAACGTAAGGGACGCCATAAATCTAGATAGAAGACGGCTGGCATCAGGTTGGTTAGACCAGTGGATGGAAGAAAGTGCATGGGACAACCGCCGAGATGGTTCACTGAGATATGAGCACTCAGATGATGTGAAGGTTGACAAAATTCTTGAAGTAGATACTTGGAAGCCTCGCTTGGGTTCCCAACGTAGACCCCAAACCTTTCAAACAGCACATCGCGTTGTGTCGTCAGATCATTCCAACCCAAACTTTATGACATATGACTCTCCATCAAAACGCTCGACAAAAGGATCAAACCTCAATCCAAGTCAAGCTTCAATCAACGCTGTTTCGCTGCGATATCTGAAACATCCCTTGGCAACGGATGAAGCAGCTTTTAGGACCGCCCCGAGCAGCCCGCAAGCATTTTCTGCCTCCACTAGACCTGGAAGCAGTGGTAGAAGAGGTCATCACTTCACGCCAGCAAGGAGTGAGTGCTCGTGGGGCTTCTTTAATGGGTATGCCGGTCACCCTAACTACATGGCTAACACGGAATCATTCAGCGCTAAGGTCAGGTCACAAAGTGCCCCTAGGCAAAGACTTGAGTTTGAGAAATACCGTTTGACCAAGAAGTCTGTTCCGGAGTTTTGCAATGCAGGAACTTATTCAGATACGAGCTTCGCTGAAGATGGTGACCTCCGAAATAAAGCCTTTTCCAGCTCCAGCCGCCTGAATAGAGTTGGAAGCTTCAATCCGCGGTGATGTTGCGTGTCTTCTTCTTTTATATATGTGTTTCTGCTTATGGCTGCGATGTTTGTGAGTTTAATCACTTGACCTTAGATGTACAAACACTGTTCTTACTAAATCAATGTTTGGGATTATGGATGTCCAATGATGAACATCGTCTCTGAAACTGTTACTCTACCTTTATGGATTCAAACTCCGTTGCAATGTAATTTTGATTGTGTGCTTGTATACATATCGAACTTTTAATCCGGTATTGCTTGTAAACCCACTCGAGTCTTTAGAATAATTTCCTTTTTGTTATACCAGTTGGCTGTCTTTGCCAAGCAGAGATAGAGCCGAGTACAATATACATTTTCTCCGATCCTTGCACATCGGAAAACCTTATTGACTCGGGGTCACCTTTTTTTTTATACGAATTGGTTGTCTTGCACCAAAGAATAACTTGATTACACCAGAGATATTTCCCGGCCTCCGCATCTCACTCATCATGTGGGTAGGGAGTGAGGATGTATCATCCATGTGCAAGAGAAAAGTGTTCATTGACACTTGATATCACGTGATGGGGATATACATATATATGATATGGACAGAGATCCTCTTCGGATCTCACTGTCCTGAGTTTAAGGACTAGACAATCCAAACTACTCAATTTGAATCCAACGTTTTCTATTTACTCATTCCGCTAACCTATCTCACATAAACCATAACCTTCGATCGTCATTTCACTCAAACTAAAAGGTCCAAATTTCCTAATTTTTAAACTTCGGATAGTAAGGTCCAAAGAAGATCCAAATTCATGTGATAATCTACCAAGTCATTTTCAACACAAACATTCTTTCCGATTTTCATGCATGAATCGAATCGCACTGTACGTTCACGGAGAAAATCCTTTCACTTTATTGCTGGGATTACGAATCACTAACCCTTTCTGTCCTCTGTGGGTTTGTGAGTCTGTGACAAAATGCACCAAATGTGAATAGATATTGATTGATACATATTGCCAACCAAATCAAACCAAATCATAATTAGCAACATTCTTTATTATATTTGGTCGTGGAATAATTTTGGACCCCGTGAACCAAAAGCTTCCCGTTTGGCTCATTATGTTCCCAATTTTTGTTTTGCTACTTTGCAAAAGGTAATATAGCCTTGTCTTATCCGAGCATCGTTAACCAATAATTATTCGAAAAGTTTAGATTGATAAGGAATGATACCACGGGGTGGCTCAATGATTAGGAACGACTTTCAGGTCTCTTTTTCATAGGGTAAGTCCTGGATTCGATTTCTGACATTAGGTGAATCACGCGATATTGGCCAGAAAGAGGCTTAAATGCCTCTGAGTCTTCCTGACCTCCGAAATAGTAGACTTCCATGATGAAGTTACCAACTAATTTCCTTTTTATTAAAAAATAAGTTTTGTTTAACATAATTATTTCCATAATTTGTACAATCAGCAGGATCTATGTATAGAATACTAAAACCATCACTTATTCATATTTTTAACAACCTCAAAACCGAACCTAGCTCCCTCCTCTGCAGCTGAATGCCGACTCTTTATTTTGGTCAAATTTGTGACTCACAGGATGCTGCACCATCATGTAAACATCATTACACATCCATCCCAAACCAAAACCATAAACAAAATTTGGAAGAGAAATTTGCATACACGGGATGTTATTGTAACGATATGTCACCAAATCACTTAGTTAGACATAATAATATTTGAGTAACTTGAGATACTGTCACAATAACATATCCGTTGCAAATACTTTATTCTCAACAAGTAGCTATGTGAGACTTACAAGTTGCAATCGGTATTAGGATCGATGTTGAAGCCCAAAGAGACTTGACAAAAGTCGGGCAAAGTGGCAATGGCATAGGCATTTGGGTTGTACGTTGCAATGAGGCCCATCAAGCATCTACATGCAAATCTCCGGTTTTCAATGGTGTCGGCAATAACCTTGAGACTGGCCATAGCATTGCAGCACGGAGACCCCGGAAACGGGTCCGGTGTCCCGTACGTGATGAACGTGTAGCACGTGGCGACAAGCGACGTCACAGAAGCACATTCTTCAGTGCTAGACACCAATGTCACCGATAAAAACAACAACGTTAGCGTCGCCCCGATCATCATCAATGTTCGGCTTCCCATTTTGCACAATTCCATCAACCTACACCTCACTGTACTAGGTTTGATGTAGCCAAGAGCACCGAGTGCGTTTTTATATTGATGTGATTGTTGGGTTGGTGTAAAACAAAGAACGTGTGGATCTTCATGAATGCTGAATGAGCCATACAATTGTTGACCCAAAAAAAAAGTCAAACAATTAAATTCACGCGTGAAATCGGATTTGTTAGAACAAAACTGACAACTTGGTTTCGTGGTGTAGTTGGTTATCACGTCAGTCTAACACACTGAAGGTCTCCGGTTCGAACCCGGGCGAAGCCAAATCATTAATTTTTTTTTTCCTCTTTTTTGTGTTTTCAGAACAGTTTTTTTACACAAATAATTTTTTGAGTAAATTACACTTTACCACTTCATGTTTGAGATCTATTAATCTCATACAACATTTTCAAAACATTTCACTTTCATACCTCAAGTATTATTTTATTTCAATATAATACATTCATTACATTTTCCACCCATTGTTCTGTTAAGAGCTGACATGGTTGCGACATTTGTGCCATGTGGCAAAAAAAATAATTTTTTTTCCATTTAAAATATTATAATAATTTAACCTATTAAAAAGAGAGAGAGAGAGAGAGAGAGAGAAAAAAAAAACCATCTTCTTCCCCGAGCCCTTCCCCTTCCCTGCAACCCAAACACCCCATCCTTCTCCACCCCCACAACCCCCAAACAACCCTCCCTCCCTTCTCTCTCCACGACCAACGAGCCCCATCCCTCCCCACCCCCACCTACCCCACAACCCCTAAACAACCCTCATTCCCTTCTCTTTCCACGACCAACGCCCCCGCAACCCTCCCCATGCCATCGCGAACCCGGCTGACGAGATCTGGGCAATCGTCACCCTTGAGCTTTTCATCTCTGAAGTCTTCTTCGAGCTTCCACTTCAAGCCTCTTCTAGTAATGATAGTTCATGTTTGAGAGCACTCCATAGAGGGCGGCATAAATGGTGAATTTGGAGAGGGGTCAGGGATAGTTTAGGAATAAAAGTGTGGTTGATGCGATTTTTTCTGGGGTTTTTGGATGGGAGCGGGAGGGAGGTAGAGGAAAGAGGAGAAAGGAAAGGGTTGAAGGATGTGAGGTCACTGACATGGTCGAATTCGAGGGATTCGTGGAGCAGTGCAGTCTAAGGTTAGGTCTCTAGGGAGGTGGGGGTGGGTTTTTGGATGGGAGGGGAGGTGAAGAGAGTGGAGGAGAGGGAGGTGGGTCGTCGGAAGGGGGGGCGGTGGGGTGGGAATGGGTTTCTGGGTTTTTTTTTTATTTTTTATTTTTTAAGGGTAAATTATTATAATATTTTAAGGGATGTGATATCCACACCCCCTATTTTACTTCTCACATACCTTTTTAATTTTCGACCGTCGGATTGGATGAATTGAAGAAGATCAATAGATATCAATTATCAAGGGGTGTGTGGATATCACACCCCTATTTTAAATGCATAATTTTTTTTTTGCCATGTGACACAAATTTGGCAACCATGTCAGCACAAATGTGGCAACAACGTCAGCTCTTAACAGATCAATTGATGGAAAATGTAACGGATGTATTATATTGAAATAAAATAGTACTTGAGGTATGAAAGAGGAATGTTTTGAAGATGTTGTATGATGTTGTAATATACCTCAAACCTTGATGTGGTAAAGTTTAATTTACCCTAATTTTTTTCCCCTCCATATTTAGAATTCGAAATATTAACAAGCAAGAGATCTTTTAATTCAAAACAATTTAAAGGAGAATAACTGCAATCACGAACAGGACCATATGAAAAAAATTTGAATATCCAAATCCACGACAAATACATTGCAAGGAAAAAACCAGTGTCTAACCTTCGAAAACAACTAATTAAGAGTTTACATAAGAGTGTTAATTTTCTTCACAACGCCATCTAGATGTGGGAACACAGCTGAGGTAGTGACACCAACGGCAACGGTCATTTCCGTTCTCTCCGCGGTAGAGCATCGACAATGCAACCGTGAATCCGACGATGAGCAGAACAAGAGAGAGTATCCATAGCACATATTGGTACGCCTTGTACTTGGACTTGACGACACTGATTCTGGCAGGAACATTCGGGTTTTCCAACCACCCAAAGCGAGGGCGGGGCATCAAGATAAAGCCGATGAGGAAACCGGTAAGAAAACCGCCAATGTGAGCAAAATTATCAACGTGTGGTAAAATTCCAATGGCGAGGTTGATGGCAACGATGACCAGAAGTGTGAGAAGGGCTGCAACCTGTGGAAACAAAAGCAAATTAGCGAGTGCTAATAACAATGCCCGTACTAATTCCATGTTGAGGTGATTAACCTTGTTGGTATAGATTGTCCAATTGGTAATTAGTTCCGAAAGCATTGCTCCAAGAAGCCCGAAGAGAGCGCCGGAGGCACCAACCGAGATGCTTTTTTGAATAAAAAGCGAAGAAAGTATGCTCCCTCCAAATCCAGACAATAGGTATACAATGCCAACTCTCACTGCCAAATTACGATTATATGACATATGAGTAACTAATACTATCATTTCTGCATAATCATTCTCAAACGAGCCCTCAGCTTTGACGTGTATTTAGAAGTAGGAAAATGTGAGACATACCAAACCCGAATTGCTGCTCGAGGCGGATTCCGATGAAGACGAGGCTGAGCATGTTGGCAACCAGGTGGATTATGCCAGCATGCAACCAAATACAAGTGACAAGCCTCCATCCCTGATGTTTATGCACAACTTTTGTCCACTCTAAAGCTCCTAACTTCTCTAATCTTCATTTAAATGTAGGACAAACCATGTATTAGATATAATAAGATAGCTTAACTGAAAACATAAACAACAACAGACGCCGTCATCTTCTCCCACTAAGTGGGGTTGGCTGTATGAATCCTAGTCAACATCACGGCTTATATAAACAATAACAGATAATGCCTTCTTATCTTACTAAATAAAATCGGTTGTATAATATCTAGTCAAAAACACCGCCTTAATTAAATGAAAACATAACATAAAAGATTGGTTGCATGAAATTAAATTCAAAACAGACCAAATGAGCTCTAAAAGTATGTGCAACTTAGTCAGTAACTCCATTGGAAGAGCCAAAAACTTCTGACAACATTAATATTAATATGCATGTGTAAGAAGCTGACATTTTGGGATGCTTGAAATCTTGTCTCCGGCCGTTAGCTTTCACAAGCTCGAGGTTTAGCATCCAATGGCGACTAAATTGTACAGTTTGCCAGAACTTGCTACAACCGTTGAAGCATTTCACATATTTTCTTAGGGGTTTCTCAGCATTGAAACTAAATAGGGAAATTTGCACGAACACCGCCCTCCTCCCGCTTCTTAAATTTAGTTATTGGAGTTCGTATTTTGTCTTAGAAAATAAATCTAAGTCATAATTTGATGGGTACGTAATGTAATGTAAAGCAATGAACGTATTACTGTCACTTCAAAAAGGTCATCCTTCACTCCGCTCTTATAAGAACATATTGAACTTCTAAGAGCGCAAGATGACTTTTTTGAAAGTCAATAGCAACTCTCCAAGTGATAATCCCAATTTTCACCAAAAATCAAATCACATATGCCCCAGATTATCAAAAGGTTTCCCAATCTGATCTCCCAATTCAGCTAAATTATATCACAACAACATGCAAAACTGGATCACCAAAATTTCAAGTGGATCCCAAAGACCAGAATTTCAACCACCAAAACATAAACACCAACAAATAAAAAACAGAAAATTGGAAGTGGGTATGAATTTACTGAAGTAGAAAACCAGAGAAAGTAAAGTTACGTGGAAGAAGAAGGGCCGAAGAGAGGGTTCTCCTTCAACGGCTGAAAGGACAACCTCCCAAGAAACCTCGCCGTGCACTTCCCCTCCGCCGCCGCATAATTGTTCTTGGGACAGTTATTGACGTACATGGCCACCAGAAACACACCGATATTCGCCACGACAATCATCGGCACCAGCCAAGAAGTCCATTGGGCCTCGTCGTTCTCCACCGCGTACGAGGACGACGAGTAGCTCTGCTGTCCTCCTCGGTTTTTCACTCCCCTGTTTTCCACATCTTCTGCAGGCATTTTGTTTGGTTTTTCGCGACCAAAAAAAAAAAAAATGGTGTTTTTTGTTTTTGGGGTTCTCTGGAACTCGCTGGGAACTGGGATTTTAATGGAGTTGTTGGGAAGGCGGTTTAATGGAGTGGGGAGAGTGGAAGAAAGTGGTGGGCTCGCCATTTTCCGTTTCCAACTGCGCCAGTCTCCGTCATTGGCTGTTCCATAAGCTGCTGAGCCCAACACCTGCACGTGCTTTACGGCCAATAATTGCTCTCCACATCATCGGTCACGTGCCATCGCACGTGATCACCACTGGTGAATTGGAAAGGTATCGACGTGGCTTGAGTGGATTGGTTGTGTTGGGTGTGGGACACCATGCAACTGTGGACTCTCGTTTTCGATCGAGTGACCAATAACTGGAAATTACCGTTTCGTTTTCGTTTCTTGATATAAAAAGAAAGAAACGGACGCATAACACTTTGCTTTTAAATGTAATGGACTGCTTGTACGCGTTTTAACGTGGAAGGGGCTACCTTCTGGGGTCCAATTCCAAGCAGAAACTTAATAGGGAAAAGGAAAATATCTGCAATTAAAGATTGAATTATTTTGTTTGTATCTGTCTAAAAAAATTAGTTTATCCTCTAAATCTGTGGAAAGCAAGTAATCTGGTTTGTTGTTTCATGATTTTCCTACCATCATAATTCTAAAAGTTTTCCACTTTATTCCCTACCTTTAAACATGAAATATATAGCTAGCTAGTGCTGCATGATTCTTCTTCTTTTCATTCGATGATGACATATTAGGGAAGTTCTCTAATAGTGTTATTATCGTAGTAACTTAATAATATATCAAAAGTACCGACAATATACGAAAATGATATTTTGATAAAATGAGACTATTTGCTACTGCAACTAACAGTGTTATTTGCAATTTGAGAACGATGGAGGGTGAAACAGCTAAATCAGTCTGCAGGAATCATGCTAACCTTTTTTCTTTTGGAAAAAAAAAATTATGTTGGTCGATCAGAATTATGCGGTTGTGGAGTTTTGTTGGGTAGATCTGAGGTTCTTTTATTGCTTTGCTTACTTTTATTTATACCCTACTTCCCCACTTTTAAAAGAAACCCCAAGACAAAGATTGATTAATCCATTGATTTTACTTTTCAAGCATGCCAATCATTGTAAAACAAGGTTTACTTTAACCTTTTAAAGTAGATGAACTACTTTTATGTAATCGTGATACTTGCAAGATCAACAAATCTTAAAATCAAGAGAAGGACTTTCATACAGCAAACGCACACTCTTAAGCATACGAACTTTTATGTGATCGGGATACTTGCAGATCAACAAATCTTAAAACTAAGAGAAAGACTTTCATGCAATTGGACACTCTCAAGCGTATCTGTCATTTTAACTTACTGCTAAAAATGCAGACAGTTTGTCACTCCTTTATTTACCTACTCAGCTGTAACAATGATAAAAGTTCCATGAAAGAACAAACCAGACTAGATCCAGGACAATCAATTATCAATCATCAGAGATTATCAAGTTCAGCGCTTGCCCTTGGCCCGCCAGCCACCAGCCATGGGGCCCTTGGGTCCTGCACCCTTTGGCAAGTTCCCTTTGCCTTGAGACTTTTGTGACTTGGCCATTACTTCTGCCTTCTGTGCCTTCTTTTCGTCCTCAGTTTTCTTAATCCTCTCCTTAATCTCACTGCAGACTGCATACATGATCAAGTGATATATCTATATATATATATAATTATAAACTACTAATCATTGCTTCTTAATTAAGCCTATATTTGTTCATAAGATTGATTAATGATGACATATGTTGTACCATATACTAGCCTTAGTATTTGGCCTCATGACCTGAGCCTATTATGTATGTAGAAGGTAATGGAAATTCTTATTCTATAATAGGGGTCCTTCGCCCTCATTGGAAAAGGATAGAAAAGGGAACCCTAGCCTCTATAATCTCCATGTACATTGTAACCCTCAATTTACATAGTGAAACCGAAATGATACCAATGTGGACGTAGCCTCAACTTGGGATGAACCACGATATATCTTTGTGTTCTTGTAGGTTTGTATGATTCACAGTCGGATTTACGTTGGTCCAAGATCGACCTGATTTTGTGCATCAACAGCATAATTTAACATCTAAAACATATACTTACCGAAAGTGCAACCTCTCTTGCAGTGTCTCAAACCTAAGGTTTCTCACTTCTTTCTTTTGCATGACCTCCAATGTAGCTCCCACAATGGACCTTGAGTATGTCTTTTTCGTGCTGCGACGGCATTTCTTCACAGTTTCCGCAGCTATGTCCTTGTACTGTTTTTCAGACATAAATTAGCAACGTACGAAGCACCAAAGCGAAAAGATTTACTAGTACTACAAGTGATTACTTGTTAACAAAATCATGTTTTTTTCTTTTTTCTGATCAATTCAGGAATTAGTTATCTTCTTGTGCTGCTTTCTGTAAATTGATGTCCAAACAAGTTTAGCTGGCTTCAGGCGGTTGTAGAAGTATCTCTTTCATTTAGAGTTGGCAAACAGGAACACCTTAAAATTGATCAAAAGGAAATTCACAATTAATGTAGTTCTAGAAAACATGGAGATGCAGTAAGCTTTATGTTATTGGTAAAGCGCTAACGAGCAAGAAAACATATTTGCATTGCATCAATATAACGTCTTTCGGACAGCTCAATCTCTTGTGTTAGTTGTTACTTGGAATCATATCGAACATATCTTATGCCCTTGTCAAGGCATATCCTAAAACGACATAGTTCAGTCCTAAAATCATTGCAACAATAATTACATTAATTAACGCAATTTTTAACTGGAAATTACAAATTCACTGAAACAACCAACACATTAAACCCTAATTAATATAATACATGTTTGTGGAAATGAAATACAATGCACCCAAACCTATCAAAGTATCTACTTCACCCTTTTTGTTAATATTGTTATTATTTGTCCATCATAGTTTTCTCAACAACCAACCAAATCGATCAATAAACTGCACATGCAAACGTACAGCTTCATCTAATTCTTACCCACCATCATGAATTAACATAAACCAATAACCAATAACCAACACATGATCTTCATCAGCTGCATACGCATTCATCATATAACCACAAAACCAAATCCAGATATCTCAGTTCATTCTGCTCGCATGTACATATACGTACACGAACATATATAAATATATATATATATGTAAAAGAAATGAAAATTAATAATGATAACAGCAAGTCTTGAGAATGTGAGAGAAAATAAATTAATTCCCGAAAATAGTATGAGCAAATATATTATGAAATTTTCAATTCAGATATTGGGAAGGGTACAATGCTTGGCTACTAAAAAATGATAAAGAGTTAAATCAATACTCCTACTCAAATTTTTTCGTGTTCAAATCACAGAACCTTGTACTTATAATCAGAACCGTTCATGATATAAATCACTCTGTAAATATCATCTCCATAAAAAATGAATTAAAACTAAAGTCACTTAGCAAATCTATTAGAGTAAATACATAGATGATTCATGATGATTTTACCCATTTTGTTCATCTGTTTTTATACAGTTAGATAACTAAACGACGTTAATTTTAATTCATTTTTTATATAAACGATCTTTGTAAAGTAAATTATAATACAAATATTTTTAATCATAAATACGAAATTCTATAAATCGATAAAGAGCAATTTTTAGAAGGAACTCTTAATTATTATCTAAGTAAACAAGTATTATTGTTCGGGAGGGTTTTGAGTCTTGGCGTTTGACCGGGAGGTCAGCAATACCCGGAGAGAAGAGGCCCACGTAATTATTTTGAAAAGCTAAGAATTTTATGGGCCCTAAAATTTTCTTCTGTCAAAGCAGAAACCCTGACAGGCGGTGCCAACTTTGAAACAGTAGGCTGGGCTTCAGAAGTTTTTTTTTTTTTTTTTTTTCTTGTCAACTCGAATTGTGTAAAATGTGAATCCAACAGCATTCAGAGAGGAAAATAAATTATATATTCAATTTTAAAGAGAGAGAAACATAATGCTACATTTTATATAAATCAGTTTAATTAGCAAATCTTACTAGATTATGGTCATCTGTATTTGTGTAGCTTAATCTTAAATAAAAAGAAAATTGGTACAAATATGGGAATTTTCGTGCTAAATAATTAAAAAAAAATACTTATAGTTTTTATTTGTTAGGTTTACATTGAGTGTTGAACTTAGGTTTACACCATCAATAATTGCGCCATTGAGTTAGAGTTGGTATGGACAGCACTCATAATATTTTGATACAAAATTCATGCGTCACCATAAGTTTTTGTTTTTTTGTTTTAAAGGAGAGTAGCTAGCAATCCACTTTTTAGGCTGAAAAGACTTACATAGTTATTTCAACCTTCTTCTGTCCACTATTGTATACTTCATCAGTGTCAGGAATATGATGCATCATAAGTTCACTTGTAAAGTGATAATAGGGTTAAGATTAATTTTTTATAATAAATAGCAAAAAGTAATTATGAAACTTAGAAATGGAAGCATAGTGGCATCTCAATAAATTTCGAGTGAAAGAAAAAAAAATTGCAGTAAGATAAAATTAAGGTACAAATAAAAGGAAAAATGAAGTCAAATTACATACACACGTGAATATGTTATTGTAAAATAGAAACTAATTAAATATAAAGCAATTGTGATTCTCTTTCAGTAACGGTGTTTTAATCAAATTTCATATCTTATACGACCATGACCACATCCATTCTTATATGAGAAAATGAGAAGGTCAATTATTGCGATTAATAAGAGAAAGTTCAATGTATTCGACTAAAAATTTCAAGTTCATAAAATTTTAATTAATAAAGTAATTCTAACGGAAAAAAATAGTACAAATTGATTTTTGTAAAAGAAATTGAGTGGATGTGGACATCGTATGCAGATCGTAATACTTGAAAGTTGAAGGGCATTTCTGTAAAATAAAGAAGCTATATCCGGAAATAAAAAGCAGTGACGTCATACAGAAACAAAAGTACACCAAACCCTGCAGTCTAGGTGGTCGTTTAGATTCAAGGAATCCGTAACCCTCTTTACTCAAATGACCATAACACCCTCCAAAAGCGCCCCGCCTCATTGGTCAAAACGGAGTCAATGCACCGACAACCGATGTAGCGTACACACGGAATCAAAACCCAGCGAGAGGCAAAGTGCACTAAAACGAGAGCACCGCACGCGCGTGAAAGCAGATTTGGGCGGATTTCACGAAACCTGTGGGCCCCCCGCCACGCCCCTTCCCATTTCTGCCTCTCTTTCTCGCCTCTATATAATAATATGCGTTTATTGAGAGCTAGAGAGAGAAAGTTTTAGAGAGAGAGAGAGAGACTCTGGTGTCCATGAGCGGGGAGGGAGGAGGAGGGAGAAGGTGAGGAGGAAGGAAGCAAAAATTTAAGGCATTTGGGGTCTGAAATTTTGGTTCAATCAAGGCATAGAGGTTGTGAGAAGAAAAAGGACAAACAAAAATAATTTAACAAAAAAAGGTCCATTGACTCTTTTGGATTTTAATTTTTTCTTGTCTGAGAGAAGGAAAGAGACTTGTAAGTCAGCAGCAAATCTTCAACTCCCTTTGTTTATTGCCATTAATTGTTTTATTTTATTGGTTTAATATATATTTTTGTTTGTAGACTTCACAGAATCACAGTTGCAGAGAAAGAAAAAAAAATATATATATATATAATGTATACGTATATGTTATTTTTTTTTCTTCTGTTTTTGTTGTTTGTGGTCGATTATCTATTTTCCTTGTGAGAAAATACATGATTTTTTCACTAACAAAGTGAAAAATATGATTTTGTTTGTCTTTTTTTTTGTAATATTTGCCTGTCTTCTCTTCAACAGATGGCATAAGAGAGCGAGGAGTGTTGTAAAAATTCATTAAAACATTTGGTTGGCTGTGTGACATAGACAGAGGGAGGGTTTTAGTATTTTGCTCGCTGCAAAGTTAAAAGGTTTAATCTTTTGGCCGTACTGGGTTGGTTTGCATGTCATCCAACTATACATCCGCAACTTTATAGATTGTAGAGAGAGAGAGAGAGAGAGAGAGAGAGAGAGAGAGAGAGAGGAAGGGAGGTCCACCGAGTCTTTTTTTTGGCTTGGATTTGGTAATTATGTAATCCAAAAGTCGTAAGGGTAATAGTGTGAATAAGATAAGCTTTTTCTTTCTTCCCTTTCAACTTTTGGTGCTTGTTTGTTTTCCTTTTCGGCTTTTCCTTCTGCCATGCTTTTAGAGACCCTTTTGGAGTTAACTTTTCCTTTGTTAGGTATTTTCCAATCCTGCCAAACAATTAGGGTTTGTTCTCATGGTATTTGGGGGAAGGAAAGAGATGGGAGAGGAAAGGGGATTGTGGTTGTGTGTGAACTGGGAATCAGAAAATAAAGGGGTTTTCTAACTTTTCTGTCCTGTTGTTCTTTTTCTATCCTTTATCAGTAAACAGATTCTAGAGAGAGAGGGAGGGAGGGAGAGAGAGAGAGAGAGAGATTGTATGTGTGTGTATGTGATGCATGGGGGTTGACAAAGGAAGCAGATTTTTCTTCTGTTTCTACTTGGAATGCAATTCCCACTTTTTTCCGTCTTTGGCTTAGTCTGGCAATTTGTTGGGCTAAAGGTCAAAGATTTAGAATAAAAAACTCATACGTATGTACCCTTTGTGAAAGTGATAGTGATTACTTTTCATGGCTATGAAACCCTGCACAGCCGGCTGAGAGAGAGAGAGAGAGTCTAACAGTCAACAAATTCAGAGAAAAGCTATAGAGTCTTAAAGGGTTTCGAAGTTTCGATATTTTCAATCAGTTTTTTTTCACAAATTTTGATGAGTTTGGGAGGTTTGATCAGTAGCAGTGGGGGTGGAAATAGTGGAGGTGGGAGGGCAAGAGTTGTGGCTGAAATTGCTCCACATGCCCCCTCCTTCATGCCCAGTGGCACCATTGCACACCCACGCTTCCACCCTTCTTCCCCAATCCCCAATTCAATGCAGATTTCCTCCTCTGCCCTCTCTCTCTCCATTGTATGCTGCTTTCTCTCTCTGGAAATCAGTCACCTTTTCCATTGATTCATGCTTCAAAACCCCATTGTTTCTTTGTTTTCTGGTTTTTTGATGTTGTTGTTGACGATGTTTCTGTTTGTGTCTGGTCTGTTGATGGTGTTGATGATTTTCCTGTTGGTGTTTGGTTTGTGCAGCAGAAGATGGACGGTCACGGTGAACTTGGTTTCGCTGAGAATTTCGACCCCGGGATCATCGGAAGGCTGAGGGATGATGAGTACGAGAGCAGGTCGGGGAGTGATAACTTTGAGGGCGCATCTGGGGATGATCAGGACGGCGGCGGCGGCGGCGGCGACCAACCGCCGAGGAAGAAAAAGTACCATAGGCACACTCCTAACCAAATCCAAGAACTTGAAAAGTATGTTTTTTTCTTCTCACAGATCCTTAATTTTTGTCAAAAAGTTTTTTTTTTTTTGTTTTTTTTTGTGTTTTGGTGTTTTGTTTGAGATTGTGGACTTGATTTGTAATAGGGGTTTGCGTTGTTTGTTTGTTGTTGTGTAGCTTTTTCAAAGAGTGTCCTCATCCGGATGAGAAGCAAAGGTCGGAGCTCAGCCGTCGTCTCAGCTTAGAGACGAAGCAAGTCAAGTTCTGGTTTCAAAACAGAAGAACTCAGATGAAGGTTATTGTCACATTACTTGGCTACTTTGTGGTTTGTTGGTAATTTAATTTAGTATTTTGTTAGATTTGGTGTTTGATTTTGTGAATGATGGAAATGTTAATTTGTAATTTTGAATCAGACACAACTTGAACGCCACGAGAATATAATTCTCAGGCAAGAGAATGACAAGCTGAGAGCTGAGAATGGTGTGATAAAGGATGCTATGTCAAACCCGGTTTGCAACAATTGTGGAGGTCCGGCCATTCCTGGTCAAATATCGTTTGAGGAACACCAACTTAGGATTGAGAATGCTCGACTGAAGGATGAACTGAACCGCATATGTACTCTCGCAAACAAGTTCTTGGGCAGGCCCATCTCCTCCTTGGGCAATGCCTCCTCCGGTTTGGAACTTGGTGTTGGAAGAACTGGGATGGGTGGTATGAATGCTCTAGGCGCTGATTTGCCACTGGGGCTTGATTTAGGAGATGGGATTTCAAGCTCTTCCCCTATGATGCCTCTCGTTAAGACCTGTTCAGGCATGATGGGGAATGAAGTACCATTTGAGAGATCTATGTACATAGATCTTGCATTGGCAGCTATGGATGAATTGGTGAAGATGGCTCAGGTAGATAGCCCCTTGTGGATCAAAAGTTCAGATGGGACAGATATATTGAACCTTGAGGAGTACCGGGCATTTTCTTGCATTGGTATGAAACCTAGCAGCTTTGTAACTGAAGCCACTAGGGACACTTGTGTCGTAATACTAAACAGCTTGGCTCTCGTTGAGACATTGATGGATGCGGTATGCTATCCTACTCTTTGTTTCATGAAGCGTTTGATTATTTATCCTGACTTATCTGTTAGACTGTTAGCATGAGGATTGATAAATATTGATGTCGTTAATATTTGAACATTGGACTTCGTAGATTAAGATGATAAGTTTTGTCTCTTGATAAATTTTGACTATATTCCAAAAAGTAAAATAATATTTGAAGTTGACGTATTTGAAACCATTTTTTTCTTTGAGTAGAATCGATGGGCAGAAATGTTTCAGTGTTTGGTTGCTCGAGCCTCCACCATTAATATGATATCCAACGGCATGGATGGGACTAGAAATGGTGCTCTTCAAGTGGTATGCATCTCATTGCTCCTCTCTTATCCACCTTCTCTTTCTTCTGATGAAAAATTGGAACTCATTATGATCTTGTTCTGTAGATGCACGCTGAGCTTCAAATGCTATCGCCGTTGATCCCTGTTCGTCCACTGAAGTTCCTCCGTTTCTGCAAGCAACATGCAGAGGGTGTTTGGGCTGTAGTTGATGTTTCTCTTGACATCAATCAAGAAGGTTCCAATACAAACCCGTTTTGGAACTGCCGGAGGCTTCCTTCCGGATGCATTGTGCAAGATATGCCTAATAATTGCTCCAAGGTAATTATAGCCGATGCCCTTCTTTACTTGTTACATTTAACTTTCCATGCAATCTTATGGTTATTTATGATTATTGAGTTGGCCTTTGGCTGTCTGTATTTTCCTTCTACGATTTAAATATGGTTGTTGAGTTACATAATTCGAGTTTGTTGAGAACACAACAAGGTGAAATTATTATGGGCAGTTAAATTCCCGGACCTAGACTTGAACTTCCAAGAGTTTACACTCTCAATATCACCCAACAAAATTGCTTTCTCTTTGATGAGATTGCTCCTATTGTAATGCACGTAGGACTTCGCCTAGAAACCGGTACCCTTTATTAGTATTTTACTGAAGAAGATGCTTCTTCCTCTTTCTTAATATATAGTCTTCGAATTTCGAAGCCAGGGTTGCTCATTGTCTGTATTTAATTAGCTTACTGCTGATCTAAGAGATGAGAAAATCAAGAATGCTCCCAGTTTAATAGTAGAGAACCGTTGTATCTATTTCCGCTTCAAAAATATAAGATATCCATAAATCCTTATGTGCAGGTGGAAATAACATAAACTAAGTATTTGATGCTTCTATTCCTATCTCTCCTTCGGTCTTCAGTGTTTTCTTTATCGTCCACAAGACAGAATGACCTGGATCCAGTTTCAATTTGTTATATTTTGAATTCCATGCAATGTGATTTTCTGTACACTATTTTATCATATTGTTCGCTTCTCCACAAGCCGCAGTTTTGACTTTTACGCTTTATGTTTTCCTCAACCTTGTTTACTGCACATTTAGTTTATAATCCGTTTTGTTTCATGTCAACTCATCTCTTTGTTTCATGTCAACTCATCTCTAGGTGATATTATCTTGACCCTTATTGTCTTTCTCCGATCGATCCTTCTCTCTCACTCTCTCTCACTCTCTCTCTCTCTCTCTCTTACTCACAGACACACATTCATGCACATGGCAATGTTTTTGGTTGTTGAAAAAATGTTTGAATTCGAACTTGGCAGTATGCGACAATTTTTTCTTTGCTAAGTGTGAAAGCTGAAAGGGGTCACTTTGGTAAATTCATGAGGTGGCTGCATGGCCTGATTGATCATAAAACAAGGAGCAGTTAAAACTTAGTTTTTTTTTTCAATTTATTTTTGTAGGTGACTTGGATAGAACACACTGAATATGATGAGAATGTCGTCCACCCCCTCTTCCGGCAATCACTGCGTTCGGGTATGGGCTTTGGTGCGCACAGGTGGCTTGCCACTCTGCAAAGGCAATTTGAGAGCCTGGCATTCCTCATTTCGTCTGCCAACTCCAGTGAAGATCACTCAGGTCACCCCACTGCCTTCGATTACATTTCTCTAACAAATATGCGATGTCTCATATTCTGTATTCTGACAAATACGTATGTTCAACAGGGATAGGTATCAACGGTAAGAAAAGCATGCTAAAGCTTGCACAGCGTATGGTGGATAACTTCTGTGCTGGGATTTCTGCCTCGTCTGTGCGCAAGTGGGACAAACTTCGCTTTGAAAATGTTAGTGAAGATACGAGGGTTATGGCCCGGAAGAGTATGAATGACCCCGGCGAGCCACCAGGGATTGTGTTGAGTGTTGCAACAACTGTTTGGGTTCCGGTATCAAGGCATAGGGTGTTTGAGTTTTTGCGAGATGAACAGTTTAGGAAGGAATGGGACATTCTGTCCAGCAACGTTCCAATGCAACGCATTGTCCAAATTGCGAAGGGCCAAGGAGGTGCCAATGGTGTTTCTCTTCTTCGTGCTAACGTGAGTGGCTTCTATTTACTTTTCTACTCGTTCTCTCCCATATACATCAGTTGTCTTATTTCGTGTGTTATTTTCCTGATTTCAGGAGACAAATGCCAACGACAGTAACATGCTGATATTGCAAGAGACGTGGACTGACCCTTCGGGCTCACTTGTAGTGTATGCACCAGTTGACACTGATTCAATAAATGTCGTGATGCGCGGTGGAGATTCTGCTTATGTAGCTCTTCTGCCATCAGGGTTTGCAATCCTTCCCGGTGGCCCACCTGGCTATGAAGTGGTCAAATCTGAAGGCAATGGCAGTGATGGCAGCAACGGATGTTTGCTGACTGTTGCATTCCAAATTCTAGTTAGCAGCCTTCCGACGGCCAAAATCAACATGGAGTCGGTTGAGACAGTCAGCACTCTCATATCTTGCACCATTCAGAAGATAAAATCGTCTCTTCAAGCAGCATAATGTTTGGAAGACCATGCATGCATGCCTACCTGCTTAGCTTTTGTTTTTGCGTTTTGCGTTTTGCTTTTTGGAAACAGAAATATATGATACATGGGAGAACATAAGAGGATTAGAAATGGATGTGATATATAGTGAAAGAAGTCGAGATTGAAAGGTTTTGCGAACAGGGGTTTCGAGTCAAGAACGAACCGCTTTTAAAGAATTTCTGTGTGGTAAATTGCTTAGTTGGGTTTTTGGTGTGGTTTTGAACTTGGAAGAACGATAGTTCGTTGGTTCGGGTATTGACTCTGTGGACCCGAAGGTTTGAAGGTAGCCTCAGCTCGGTCTGAGTTTCAAAGAAATATTACTGACATTGTTGGAAGGAACCTTTCGTTTCTGCTAATGGTTATATTTTGGATTTCTGATGACAAATTTTGCTTGGTTTGCTTTTCCTCTAGGTTTTTTTTATTTTTTATTTTTTTAATACTCTGGTTCTCTTGTTAATTTTAATGTTGAATGCTACTCTCCTTTTGTCTAAACCACCACGAAGTAACCCAGTTGATAGTGACGAGTTCCAAGTTTGTATTCCACACGGCATTTCGTGTGTTCGATTTCTGGCATTGTTGAATTACACAATGATGGTCAAGGAGAGGCTAAAATGCCTACATGAGTTTTCTCAGCCATCGAAATAATGGAATGTTGTGGTGAAGACATCAGCTAATCCCTCTCTTAAGAAAAAAAAGTCTCCTTTTGTCTCTCTTTTACTTTAATTGCCAATTGTTGAATTCTAATAAAATTACTACAGACAATAAATCGTGATTTATGTACAACTCGTTCAGAGGCTGGCCAAGTCTCAAACAAGGAAAAACAAACAAAACTCATTTTCAAAAGGAATGTACTTTTTGATATGCCTCCGTGACATCATGGTCTATTGCACAATGTTACGTGAACAAGTTAAAACACGTAACATTTCACTATTTGTATGGAACATCAGAGTCTCATAGTCTAAATGAGAGAACTAGGAGGAGTTTCAAACAAATGAAGGTCCAGAATAAAACTGTGGCCCAAATTTCCTAAATACTATTTTCTAGCCCAATTTTCAAAAGCAGTCTCAAATCCAATGCTAACATAGTTTCGCATTCGCGCCTCACAACTTCTAGTAATTCATCATTTCCCCACCACATTTCAAACTCCCTTCTATTTACACCCCTAATAGGCCCACTAATTTCCCATTTTCCCTCGCCTGTCGTCTCCTACCTTCGCAGCATCGTCATCCCCAAAAACCCTGCGCAAAACCCTAAACCCCCAGCCACCCAAAATGCGCATTTTCTTAACCTACTCATCCAATTTCTTGAACCCCAAGTCAAAAACCCTAAACCCCATCACTTTCCTCCTCTGCAATCTCACCCCGACCCGACCCAAATCGCAGTCGACCTCCATCCCCAGAAAACAAGCCAGAATCCGCGACCACGGCTACGACAACTACATGGAAATCGAAAAGAAAACCCGAAAAGTCCTCAAATTTCAGGACCTCATCCTGTCGCAGCCCAACCAAATCATCCAAGTCTCCCGCCTCGACCTCCTCGCCCGCCGCTTCGGCTTCAAGCAGCACGAGGCCGGCATTTTCGTGCTCAAATTCCCCCACGTCTTCGAGATTTACGAGCACCCAGTTCAGCGGATCCTCTACTGCCGGTTGACCCGAAAAGCCCACCTCCAGATTGAGCAGGAGAAGCAGGCGCTGGTGGCACAAACTCCTGACGCCGTCACCCGCCTGAGAAAGCTCCTGATGATGTCCAACACCGGGCGGCTCCGCCTCGAGCATGTTCGGATTGCGAGGGCGGAGTTTGGGCTGCCGGATGATTTCGAGTACTCGGTAATTCTCAAACACCCTGAATACTTTAGATTGTTTGATGCTGAGGAAACTAGGAACAAGTACATTGAGGTTGTTGAGAAAGATTGTAGCTTATCTGTTTGTGCAATTGAGAAACTTAGGGAGATTGAGTATAGGGGGAGAGGGATTGATGCCGAGGATATAAGGTTTTCGTTTATTGTGAATTTTCCACCCGGTTTTAAGATTGGGAAGTACTATCGGATTGCCGTGTGGAAATGGCAGAGACTTCCCTATTGGTCTCCGTACGAGGATATTTCCGGTTATGACTTGAGGTCGATTGAGGCGCAGAAGCGGATGGAGAAGAGAGCAGTTGCTGTGATTCATGAATTGCTGTCGTTGACGGTGGAGAAGAAGATCACATTGGAGAGGATTGCTCATTTTAGAATGGCGATGAATTTGCCTAATAAGTTGAAAGAGTTTCTGCTTCAGCATCAGGGGATTTTCTATATTTCAACTAGAGGGAATCATGGGAAGCTTCACACGGTGTTTCTCAGGGAGGCTTATAAGAAGGGGGAGTTGATAGAGCCAAATGATTTGTATTTGGCGAGAAGGAAATTGGCTGAGTTGGTTTTGATTAGCCCTAGGAAGGCGAGAATGGATAGCGAATTGGTTAGTTACCGCAGGGATTGGGAAGATGATGAGATGGGGCACATTGGAAGAGAACGCATTGTGAATGCTTTTGAGGATTTAGGAGGCGGGGATGATGTTAGGCGGGAGAGGGATGTGGAGGGTGGTACGAAATCAGATAGTGGTAGTGATTATGACTCTGATTGATGACGATGATCCGTTGTGGTGAAACTATGGACGAAAAGGATTTTCATGAAGCCGATTGACCAAGATAGAACTCATATTTTGCTACTTGAATCATTACCGTTATGGAAGTTTCAGCTTGAAGGAGGGCAATCCACAACTGCATCATCCAACCCAAGTGTCTTTGAAACATTGCGATTGGCTGATGATGGAGGGTAGCATTTATGGTATGAAGAATTGCTTATTCGTGGACAGCACCTCATATGGAACTGACTCCTTGGATATTGGAGGGTAAAGTTCTGATGCCAGTAGCCTTTTAGGCTTCTGCACAACTTGGTGAGTTGAACTTTGGTTGTGGCTATCTTTTCACTACCATTGCCTCTTTACCTTGTGAATTCGAAAGAAGCCATTTTTGAACCATTTGAAGACATTGAACTTAAGCACGAATAAATGGAAAAGTTTTGGTTTGGGAGAATGTCCTTGCAGGTTTCTGAAATCAACCAACACCATCACCACTGCAATGTTGTATTTTGTAAGATTTTGACTGCATCGGGACGGATTCTTCTGCATTCAAATGGATCCTAAAATCCGAAATTTTGGGTGAATGTGTGTGTTAGGTGAACAGAAATATCGATTGTCTCCATACATGAGTTAAGCCAATTGGCCATAGCAGTATCAGTAAGCATGTCCCCTTGCATCCTAGTTCGAATGCCACGTCATAGATTGTTGTAGTTTAAATGTCAAACAAGAACCCATTGATGGTCTCATGGCCAATTGGTCCAATTGGATCCATCAGAAGAGCCCATTTGGTTGGAATTTATTTGTCTGGAATTTGGACCAACCCAATTTATATTGCAACTTGTAGTTGTAGGTAAACATTCAACTACAATAAACAGGTACATAAATAAAAACAAAGACGACTACGACATTGATCAATTTTGCACATTTTTGTATTGTGTTACGTAGGGCAAGAAAACACAATTGTTTTTCAAAATCGTGTTAGGCTAAGCGTAAGCGTCAGTGTCGTCGTTGTCGTCCTCGTCGTCGAGTTTGGTAATCAAAATTTGTATGTGTTCAACTTAATGTAAACAATACACAATATTTTGTTGAAAGTGAAATATAACCTAGTTTTTCAACCACAAATATTGTAAAGACACTTTGCCAAGAAAATTGTGTTTGTAGAGCAATCCTCTTCAATCTATGGCCCATGAGAGAAACTTCTATGAGACGGGTTTACCTGTCATCAAGATGTTCAATGCCAAAAATATAACGATATGCTGAAAAACAATAACATTTAGCATTATAACAGTACAAGACGTTACAGTGTACTCATGTCTTGCAAGTTCTCTTATAGAGGGAGAAGCCCACAAGCGCAACTGGGCCCACATCTAGACCAAACTTTCACCTAATTCCTTGCGTACGCGTCGGCGTTAATTGATGAGAAAAATCTTAAGTCTTACACTCACACCTTTCTCACGTGAAAGCGATCCCCACTCCCTTGCTTATGAATGCCCTCGTCCCTCAACCGTCCGATCTCACCCGATCGGTTTTTACTAACCGGCAGTCGTTGTAGTGAGTGTGTCCCACGTGTCCTTTTTCTGCAAAAATCATCTAGTTGGCATGATGTGCATTCGCGGACCACCTGATCACTTTTGCCACTTTTTTTTTTTTTTTGTTTTTATCGAACGATACATTCTGTTAGATTAAATGTAAAATTAGTTACAAATGAAGTTCAAATCAATCTTCATTCTTCACAACCAAGAATTTCGAAAAATTTAATCGAGAAATTTGTAGAGAACCATTCGCTTTCTTTTTTACACTCATTATTAATAAGTAAACGAGCCATATATTGTATTTTTTTAATTTATTATTCTAATTTATGACTTTTACACGAAAACATTCGGAAAGAAAAAAACTTAAAAAAAAAAAAAAAAGGGGAGAATCTCCGAGAACACCCAGAACCGAAATAGTAAAAAACAAATGCTTGGCATGCCTCATCATGCGTCCTACCCCAAATACAAATATTGTCAACATTGTAACCAATAGAAGAAATAGCATCTACAAAAAATAGCATATGCATGAAAACTAACTTCTCTATAAACATGTTCCTTAAAATTTATTTGATACATTTTTTTTTCCTTTCAATGCGTAATTTACCTTAAAACCGAAAAACTCAATTGATCAAATTATTTCACTGACCTTCTCAATTTATGAGTGAATCCAAGTGAGTAAACGTGTCAATGATGTTGATAATAATCGATCTATATTTCAAGTGAGTAAACGTATCATTGATGCTGACAAAAATCAATCTAAATCTCCACTCTATACAAAGATATTATCGATCTATATCTCGTGAACGACAGTTGTCGATGATTAACGGATTAAAAAGAAAATTATTAGATAAAATCACATTTCATATATTTTTGAGTAGGCCCAAGGCCCACCACCACACCACCGCCATTCCTTCTCATCTCCATTGATTTGTCTGTCAAAACCAGCACACTACTCCCCAACAAAGTCAAACCCCCAAGTCCAAAAATCCTCCATTTTTCCATCCCATTTGTCGTTCTTCCACGACGGTTGACCTAAATTATCCTTTTCTTTTTCAATTTATTTTCCAAATTCCACACGCTTTCGTATTTATAGGTAGAGAGAGATAGAGGCGGAGGTTGAGAGAGGAAAGAAATGGGCAATTCATTCGGGTGCTCTGCCTCCGGCGAACGGCTGGTTTCGGCGGCGAGAGACGGCGATGTAGTCGAGGCCAAGATGCTCTTGGATTGCAATCCTTGCCTTGCCAAATACTCCACCTTCGGCGGCCTCAACTCCCCTCTCCATTTCGCCGCCGCTAAAGGCCACAACGAGGTGCTTTTTCCGTCTTCTCTTCCTCTTTCCATTCCTGGGTTGTTTTTTTTTTTATTATTGGTTATCCGATTTATGATTTGGGTTTTCTTTTCTGGGTTTGATTCAGATTGTTTCTTTGTTGCTGGAGAATGGAGCTGATGCCAATTCCAGGAATTACTGCGGGCAGGTACGAAAGTTGGTTTTTTTTCTCATTTAAATTTTGATTGTTTGTCAGACAGTAATTAAATTTGTGTTTTTGGATCCCCATTAGAGTAAATTTGGCATTTGGGTATAGATCTGGTTAGAAAGGTTGGTGATTGGTTTCTTTTTCGCATAAATCGAACCATCTTATCGAAAAAATTGAAGCTCATGGGGGATTGAACTAATTTCATGCCTAAGTTTGTTAAGGCGACAGATTTCATTCTAAACGCAGCTGGGATATTTTCCTTTATGTGCAACGGAATTTTCATATCGAGTTTGATACGAATGTTGATTAAGTTATTTGATTTCTGTGTTTAAAGACAGCATTGATGCAAGCGTGCCGATATGGACACTGGGAAGTTGTACAGACCCTCATGCTCTTCAGATGCAATGTAAGTTTTGATTCTCGTTTTTTTTTTTTGGTTGCTATTTAACTGGATTCTAATATTTGAGTAATTAATCTTTCATAGTAGAAGCTAGATATATCAGTTATGCTTTGGAAAAAAAATTTGATTCGCGATCCAATATTTAATCATAGTATTTTTCTTTGTACTAGGTTGCAAGAGCAGACTATCTTACTGGCAGGACTGCTCTTCATTTTGCTGCTGTAAATGGGCATGTAAGATGTATAAGACTAGTCGTGGCTGACTTTGTTCCAAGTGCTCCTTATGAATCTCTGACCACTCAGACAGATAGCGACAGAGGTGATAGTGCAAATGCCGTGAACAAAAATGAGCAAAGGTATGTGGTAGCTTCTGTTTTCTTTGTCAAGAAGATCTATTATGAATGTAAATTCTTTCATGATTGGAGCAATAATGGAAAAGAGTAATGATATGGGATTGCTTTCCATTTCTACGGATTCAAAGCAGCTAAGTCACTAAATTCTTTTTCTGCATGAAGTTTTCCGTGCACTATGTTAATAGATGCAAACTCTGTTTAGCCCATCCAAATTCTTGCTGGAGTTATATCGCCTGGATATTTATATTTGTTTAGGTTTCAAACAAACCGTTATCGGATAGGTTATGCTTACCGGGTGACTTTAGATTGTACAGAATCATTTGATCTACACATATATTTCTTGGTATTTATCCATTCTATTCCAGTGCAGTGCTCTATCCAAACTTGTAAATAAGGTAGCGGATTGTGGTATCACTGCTCTCCATATGGCTGCATTGAATGGATATTTTGATTGCGTACAGCTCCTACTTGATCTTCAAGCAAATGTGTCTGCTGTGACGTTTCATTACGGGACTTCTATGGATTTGATAGGTTTGCTTTTTGTTTAGTAACCAGTACATTAACCAAAGGAATTTTGCTTTCCCATCCTGCTTCAAACTGAAGTGGAAGTTTATTCTTTGTAGGAGCTGGAAGTTCTCCACTGCATTATGCTGCTTGTGGGGGTAACTTAAAGTGCTGTCAGGCAAGAACTTTTTTGTTTTGACGGCGTGTGTAAATTAGTTTCTCTCTCTTGGGATTTAAACTGATGGTGTCCAGTATTTTTTCAGATCCTCCTTGCAAGAGGTGCCAGCAAGACGACTTTAAACTGCACTGGGTATGGGTCTTTTGGTTTTCACAATAATGTTCAGTTACTATTGAAATGATTAATGTGAAGCATATTCTTTCAGGTGGCTTCCAGTTGATGTTGCCCGAATGTGGGGGCGCCACTGGCTTGAACCACTTCTAGCACCCAATTCTGACTCGACAATACCAGCATTCCCCCTATCTAATTACCTATCCTTGCCTCTCATGAGCATACTGAATATAGCGAGGTAACTCTTCAACCAAGTACATCTATAGATGCTAACACATGTCAAGTTTCTGGATATCTTGTGCTTGGTGTCGAGAGTTTCACCCAAAGGATGCGACATACTCATAGACAAATTCGAATCCTTAGTTAAGAAAGTTTTACCATGTGTATTAGTGCCACCACATAGACTCAAGTTCTTTGGAATTTACTGCAGGGAATGTGGATTTAAGTCTAGTGACAACATCAACCGACGACACAGATACTTGTGCTGTCTGTCTGGAAAGACCATGTTCGGTAGCTGCAGAAGGTTTGTCCCGTAGTGGTTATTTTTCATGTCTTATGTTTTCCTGATACTTTACAAACTACCCTTTCCCATAGTATAGCTGAATGAGTGTCATATTAAGTGTCTAGATTATAGAAATTCAGTTTTTTTATGTACAAGATATACTCATCCTTTGTTTACTTGTACCTTCAGGCTGTAAGCATGAGCTTTGTGTAAGATGCGCACTCTATCTTTGCTCAACGAGCAACATACCTTCGGAAACGGTGGGCCCACCTGGGTCCATTCCATGCCCGCTTTGTAGGCACGGTATCATCTCCTTTGTCAAATTGCCTGGCTCCCCAGCAAAGGAAAATAGATTGCAGATGTCACTTGGCCTTTGTACCCCTTGTATACTTCACCCTCGTGACCCAGAGCGTCTTTCTCCAGCTTGTGCACCAGAGATCCGAAAGAACCGTGTGGCTTCAGTTTCTTCGGATATGCTCTGTCCAGTCACATGCAGTCCATTTCCTTCTGTCACCATTCCTTTGTGCACGTGCAATGATGGACCATGCCCCTCATTTGAAACCCGGGAGGCAGAAACCCAAGATGAATTGCCCAGGCGGCCCAAGCAACATCAGCAGACCAGGACAAGATGGAAGGGCCGAGACTTGGAAAAACAACATGTTCAAACATGTTTTGGAGCAGAAGGAGCTGCAGTAGGGAGCATCAGTGCAATGCTGAAATAAATGCTTAACGAGTTTGATCACGATGGTGTGCCTTCTCATGTATCTCAGTCAAAAGGAATTTTTGATTTCACATCAGCATTGTCGAACGCGGTTTGTTTGATCCCTTCTGGCCGTGAAGTGTATGAAATTATGCAAACCCGTGTTTGCCTCCGGTTTTTGTTCGGCGAGCTACATGGTGGATTTGGGTGTTGGCAGCACAGTGTAATGTTCTCATGTGGTATTCACGGCGGCTGTAAAATTTGTATGTTTGGAATAACATTGATTGTAATTGAACGTGAACAAAGAAAAGAAGAAAAAAGATCATTTCGCTACATCTTTCCTTTTTATTTAACTTGGTTTGGACCGACTAATTAGGATGTTTTTCGAAACCTTGATTTCAAATTTAAACCTAATTAGGTTGTGCACCTAAATCGTAAAACTCCTCCAAATTTTGAACCAATTCCATTCTTTGAGAGAGATTGTGCACCAAACAACTCTTTATGCATTTTTCTTCTCTAAATCGTTTGTCACCGTAAATTTTTCAACTATTTACCCTGCTTCTCAGCTCATTGGGTGTCTACTCAAGGATCTCTTCCGGTGACACACTTTGGTAGTTGATAGTTTTTAAAGTGCAACTTGCACTATTCGGTCGGATTATGGGAGTGTTCATAGCATGGGCGCTTGTCTATCCTCATTTTCTGTCTGTTCGTTTGGTTTGTTGGGTCTTTATTCTAGATGGTGGCAACTTTGTGATTGTGGAGCTAACTTGATAGAGGTGGTTGCTTTACTTTTTCAAATCTCTGTTTTTTTCTTTCTTTGTGTTGCTATGAGCTGTTTTGGGCCTTTTTTAATGTAATTTTTTTTATTTATGTGGATTGGTGTTTTGCTTGCATGTTTTGGACTTTCTCTTTGAATTGTTCTTACATTGTACTAGTTTTCTCTAAGTAAAGAAAGTCAATTTTGATCTGCATAATTCAAACACATCATTCTAACGAACTTGGTTATTTTCAAATCAGCATGCTCTTTTGCTTGATGAAAGGGTTTTGAGTAACGCTAGAAGAATTATACTATGAGTATCACATTACATTAGTAGTCGGGACCCATTACATTAGAATTTAGAAACGACCAATTACCTATATGCATATCACGTCCCAATAGCACGGTGACACGTAGCTATGATGCCTAGCTACATGAGCCGTATCACCAATCAACAATCAACAGATAACCAAAAAGCGACATATGGGACCTACTACTGTCCCAGAAACCTGGTACAACCTAGTAAGTTGTTACCTATGTGCGTACAAAATAACAAACCCTAATACGTACCATCATATGCATGCCCTCCCTGCACGCTATAGGGAAGACCAGCACAGCAGGAGATAAAGTCTCCAATCTTCTTATGACATTTTTAATCTTATTTATATGCAGTAGTAATTAATCATCATCTTCTTCTAGCAGCAGTTTCTCGTTGTGCATTGAAATAGACGGCAGCCACAGGCAGCCCAAGATCGTTCTCCTGCGAGAATTTTCTGGTGTTGAAATTGTCCCTGGAAGCTGGAGCTCTCACTGTTTGTCTTCCTCTCTGCTTGAATAGCAAGAACACGTACCTGTGAATGCCTACGACCGGCTTTGGAGTTTCATACTCCACAGTTTCTTTTCCTGTTAATTATATAAAACCCAAAATATTATATTTAGCTAAGAACAAATCTTCATTTAGCCCTAAACCCTATATATATATATCAATGTATTACTCATGTCGGGAATGACGTAGTTACTTACCAAATGAGACATCAGTGGTCCCAGGAATGTCTGTGACCATCCTGCAATATATAGTTTTGTGAAAGTTAAATAATTAAGGTACAATATATATGTAAAACTGTAGTATGTGAGCTTGTATGACAAGTAAAATATACAAACCAGTGGAGATGTTCTTTCAGGTATGGATCGCTGGGGCCTGGATAATCAGGGTCTGTCATTAGCTTCATCAGAAGTTATGATCCGAAAAAAAAAAAAAAAAAGTTAGTTATATCACACTAGTACTATCAATGTATCATATTATCTTGCCGCAGCAAATAAGCAATCACAAATCATTGGTGAAATTAACTTACTAAGGTATAAGCAGTCCTCATATCGTCACCGCCGATGTCGACGCGAGGTTTTGCAGCAATGACAGAAGGCATGAGCTCATGTCCATTAGCAACTTGCTTGTTTGGATTGTAAACTACATTCAGTTTCACACTTGGGGTGAAGATGTCGACAACTTCTCCTATCACTCTTCCTACAGTCAATGGCTCTATCGTCCTCGACATGTATACAAAAAGAAACGGAGTGAAAAGAGTACAGAAGATGTGTTATCTTAATTTCTGCTAGAAAGTTGATGCAATGCATTGGAAGCGAGACTACGTTGGCTTTTATAGGCACAAGAACAGCCCAGCAGGAAGCATAAATTAACTAATATTAGTTAATATTCCTTAATTAATTACTGTTCTGGAGCAAGAAGTTTATAGATTAATTGATTAAAAGCATTTATTCAGGCATCTGATGTTCCGAGTTTGATTCCCGATGTGGTCTTAAAATTTCTATTCGGGGAAAGGACATGTGAAATAAGCTTTCAAATTCGAGCTATCTTTGATAGATATGGTAAGAAGCCATTAGAAGGATGAGTACTTTGTTGAGTTTGAGCAAAGAGATCCCTCTGAAAGCATAAAGTTACATATATTGGTGTCTCTCCCTATCTAATGTAGAACGAAGAATATAACCTTTTTCTACTTAAAAAACATATCTTGAGAAAATGGGAATTCATCTTTTACAGGTGCTTGATAATTCTCTGTATGCACATCCTTTCTTTCCAATCTCTTATCAACAAGCCTGGAAAAAGTGTTACAATTTAGAATCTCTGGCAACCAACGGTATGGGTGTTCAACGATGCAGCTGCACTCTTATCTCTCCCTTTCCAAATACTATAGCTCTGGCTGTCGACTAAGAAATTCTCTCCTCTCATCAACACCACACGTGTCACATCGTTCATTGGACATGCAGTGCATTTTGTGTTGTTGCACAGTGACGTTATTGAGACTAAAACTTTCTTATATTGGAGAACCTCTCTTGCGGATCATACCTTCATATGATGTTACAACTTCACGTGTATAGTATTAATGCAGAGTATTATTATCCGTCATGGTCCTCAAGTTCAGTTTATACGCATGTTATATATATATATAACTTAAATAAATTTGTAATATCACTTGATGGTGTGACTTCGACACTAAACATTACCTGCAAAATGCCAGTCCCTTCTTTAAGCACAACTTTATATATTGTAACGGCAAAGATCTAAAAAGACAAAAACCGAAGGAATTTGGAAGATGGCAACCACTTGTCCGATGGTCTACGATGCATGAATGGGAATCAACCACTCCAAACTTGACACCTCATTCGATTACAAAACCTCAAGACGCTTTCATTTTAACTCATTTTATTCTTGCAATTGACTGCTGTCATGCTCCTCGCAATTTCTCCAATCATCAGCACAAATTAGGGCAAATCTGAGTCTTTCTGTCCTCGGCATTTGACACGTTTCACATCTTTTGGGGAGCCTCACTTTTCTGGTGAATTATGTCCACGTGTCTTTTTGTTGGACGTTGATTCCATGTCTGGGAGTTGTAGGAATGGCTTCTATAAAAACGAAAAGATTAAATCTTCTGCACCTGTTTTATGTGTGACTTCTCTATAACATCTATAATTGATTGCACTTATTAAATTTATGACAACAAACTTAAGGAGGATTAAATTTACCAACACACGTAAATCAATTATAGAGGCTATAGAGAAACCAATAGAAACCGAGTGCAAAAGATTTAAACTCTAAAACGAAAGAATATAATCTCATTAGCCTTTAATCTCTATGAATAAAAAGTTAATTAAACACCACATTTTCCCCTTTTTAACACGTATCTTTTTCTTGGACGTTGATTCCATGTCTGGGAGTAGTAGTGTGTGACTTCTCTATGGCATCTATAATTGATTACACTTACTAAATTTATGACAACAAACTTAAGGAGGATTAAATTTGTCAACATACGTCAATCAATGACAGAGGCTATAGAGAGGCCAATAGAAACAGAGTGCAGAAGATTTAAACTCTAAAACGAAAGAATAGAATCTCATTAGCCTTTAATCTATATGAATATAAAGTTAATTAAACACCACATTTTCCTTTTTTTAACACGTGTCTTTTTCTTGGACGTTGATTCCATGTCTGGGAGTAGTAGGATTAGCTTCTATAAAAACGAAAAGATTAAATCTCCTGCACCAATTTTGTGTGTGACTTCTCTATGACCTTTATAATTGATTACACTCACTAAATTTATGACAACAAAATTAAGGAAGATTAAATTTATCAACACACGTCAATCGATGATAGAGGCTATAGAGAAGCCAATAGAAACCGAGTGCAGAAGATTTAAACTCTAAAACAAAAGAATAGAATCTCATTAGCCTTTAATCATTATGAATAAAAAGTTAATTAAACACCACATTTTCTCTTTTTTTTTAACTGTTACAAATGCAAGAATGCTCAATATGTCACTTGAATTAATAATTAGTTGCATCAATTCTTGCTCCGCTTCAAACTTATTGTGAAAATGAAGTATACATGCAACGCAAAGGTAATGCTATGTCATTTAGTTTACAAAATTTTATCAAAAAATTTAATTTTTCTAGCATTACCAGCAAATGCCCTCATTTCATGAATATATATGTCTTCGAGGGTATCAGCGCTTTTAACGTTGTTTTATCTTAGGTTGTGTTCGAGGATTGAATTTTCTATCCGAATGAAAAACAACGATGTCCCAATACGATCGGAAGAGTCTCAGTAAAGTCCAATGTATACAAGTCAACCCGAAATTGGTCACAATTGAATATTGGATAGGTTCACATGCTGACAGGCGCTTGAGGGGCTTGACATATTGTTCATGATCTTCGGCCCAGGCCAGCTCTTGGGTTGGGTTGGGTTGGGTTGGTTGGCCTTCATAACTCTTACAAACACTTGTTGAAGGGCAGAAGACCGCAAGTGAGGGCTCGTGGAGTTTTATTTTGGTTCTTGATATTTCAGACTTGGAATTACATGGACACATATTTCTTTGTTTCGTTTCTTACATGATCGTAAACATATATAAAGTCAGGAATTAAAATGATTTTAGTAATAGTAAACCAACAAGAAGCATGAATCGAAAAATTCAATTATTCGTTTTTATTATAACAAACAGGAAGAAAATAAATTCGTCTAAATTACTAAGAAAAAAAAAATGAACTAAGCTTGGTAAAACTTAAACACAACGTATATTCCAGTGAGACTCTCTTACCTCTCCCTTGCTTCCCCTCATCTTTCCTCCTCCTATTACGTTTTGTGACCTTCCTCGCAAGTGTGGTTGTGGAGGCTTTGGTTATTTGTAGATTGATAATGCGCAACACTTTCAGATCTAGTTTTTCATTTGGGTGCTCTTTTCATTTTGGAACGATGTCTTCCTCACAGAGGAAGTGGCGGTGGTGACTGCATTTGGTAGCTGGAGATTAGGGTGTTTGTTGTTACTCTTTTTATTATTGTCTACGGGCCTAAGGTTGTGTATGCCTCCTTTTATATCTTGAGTTGTAGCTCTTCTTTGTTTGGGTCTATACTCTATCTTATTTTATGTCTTACTTTATTTATGTATAATTTTGTAATTTGTTTGGACTTGAATTCATCTATCACAATTGTAATTCTCAAAAATAAAGTATTTGGAAAAAAGAAAGAAAAAAAGTATTAATCCCGTGAACCGTAGGCAGCCAAACCCAAATAGAAATAGTTTAATCTTCTCTCATCAATAATACGAAATTAAACATCCACATACGATCTAATAACACGTCAACGAAACACACACAGTGAGAAATCAAAACCTATCATCAGTCCATCGTCCAGAACCAGAACCACTCGAGCAGGGAATCAATAAAATCTGCGGTTGTCTCACAGTCACAGATACGTAAGAACTCACCTCAACAGTTGGGGAAAAGAGCAGCTTTTGGCAAAAGCACTGCCAGTCGCTCTGCCTTTAACCCTAAAAGTGATGCCGAATTGCATAGCCATATTGAGTTTTCTCACCTGCTTTTCTCACGCAAAGTCACTTCAGAAATCTTTCTCAATCTTCCGTTTTTGGAATTCCTTCACGCACACCAAAAAGAAAGCTTTTCTTTTTTCCATCAATCCCAACCCTTAAAATTTTCCCAAAGTCTAGCAATAAATCCTTCTTGTTTCCTCTTCTAATCAGCTCTCTCAAAACGTGCACGTCTCAGCTCTTGTTATTACTGTTCTTGTTCGATGGACTGGTGCAGTGCAGTGCGCAGTGCAGACTAGACATGTGGCCATCCCGAAACTTTCCCTCACTGCTTGCTGCCATTAATGGCTTGGGTACTTTCTTCAGGAACCTCGTCTTGCTAGGGTTTCAATTTTCAGGCAATATATAGGTGATGTAATCTGCCTCTCATCTTCTGCGTTCAGCCGTGGCTATTCATTAGCTACACTACTAATCAAAAGTTTAAAGACTAGTGATTATTTCACACAATTAGATTATCCGATGCATTCATGCTTATTTTTGTTTCTTAATTTTCACTTAATTTAACTTCTGCATGTGTAAGTTTATTTTACGTTGTTGATTCTAAACCTGAATAAAAAAGGTGGGGGAGTGCATTAAGTAGTCAACAACCGACACTTTGTTATTCATGTCGAATCCTAATGATATGAATCTTAAACGAAATTATGCTAAAAAGGTACTTTGATTTTACTGGACGAGTGAAATCAACTTTTCGTAAGGCACGCAAAAAAAGTACTTTGATTTTACTGGATGACTGAGATCAAAGAAGTTAGGACATGAAGGTAGGATTCAAAGAGAGTAAAATGTATTTAAAAATATGGAATATAAGAATCATAACGGAAAAATCTATGAAAATGGTAAAATTTTCACTTGATTTAGTCAATTTAAGAAAAACCACACACACAATTGTCAAATATTAAAAGGTGTTATGTGTGTAGTTTAAATTATGAAATACAATTGTTTGTGTACTCATAAAAAATTTATTTATTTAATATAACATGTGAAATAGTAATATCACTTATAAATGTGATCTGGACATCAAAAAGTTTCTGCATCAAACTACAAAAAGAAAAATTCTATGGACAAATAATGAGTGGGAAAATTTGCTTTGAATTTTTTGGTCCAAAAGAAAAAGGGGATCAAATGTTTGACAGTTTTGGTGGCAGAAGATTCTGCACAAGTGATATAAGCAATGAACATGAT